TATGGTCTTGTGTAGATGGATAGACCAGAGATAATCAATTTATATCAAAAGATCATCTAGGCCCTGGCGTCACAATGCGACTTCACAACCAACTGATTGCTGTTTCTTTATTTTTTCCCTTGTAAATCTGTATCACGGATTGGTGACGGTCATTCTTCGCCCTTGATTCAGGGGCGAACGAAGTAGCCGAAAACCGTCCTTGAATGACCTTTGCGACAGAGGCTAACTGGTGATAAATTAATGTGATAACTTTCATCCTGGCCGTTGTTACGGTATGCCACGCTTTCTCCCAGCAAATCATTACAATTGACATTTGTCACCTTCACACGATTTGTTTTGGACGATGGCTTTCTCAGGTAGGCTCATTATAAGGATAATTTAACCGAACAATCGAATATCCCTCCTTAATGGGTTGCAACTTTGACTAAAATTGGGTTATCGATAAAAAGTTATGGATATATTATACATGAGATGCTAAATTGTCAAAATGCTAAAAGTTAAATCAATTCCAGAAATTGTCCTACAAAAAGTCTGTTTTTAAGCATATGATTGGTATAGTATACCTTCGATTGAGGAGACCCCTCCCCCAATAAAAAGTTGAGAATTTAAAAACAATAATATATAATAACAATATTACATAATATATTAGAGACAAAAGCTTATTAACAATTACTCTTATTGTGTATATAGTTAACAAAGTCTGCAACAACTTTACGTCATGCTTGGATTGAGTGTCTGCTGGAGGTTGGCCAAACAACCACCCAATATATAACACATAATATGTAATTGTAATAATATGTAAAAGACATAAATGGCCCCCTAAATTGATGAATTAATTTGTTTTGAAAGTTAGGAATATGAGATGTCTCTTAGTGAATGCAAGATGACAGAAACAATTAGCTAACTCTATAATTTTGTGGGGCGTCGGTTGCTGCAACGGTTTAGTCGTTGACAAGGCGCTAATCACTGTATTGTAAAGGTCCCGGGATCGGATCCAGCGGCCCTGCATTCGAGCATAAATGGCCTTTTTTAAATAACATCGGCACCTCGAGGGTGTAATGGCCTCATATGATCTCTGCTGTTGCTAACCTAGGTAAAAAAAAACTTCTAAAATTTTGATTGTTATTCAATTCTAGCGTTCTCTGTTGGATTCTTTAATTGTATAAAATTCTGTGGTTAATAAAAATACTTTTGCTTTAGCAATCGACTAACACCATTTTTACTACAGAGTTATATATATTATATGAAAACACTTAAATTACCCTGTAGTAGTATAATAAATAACACAAACACCAGACCGCATCTCACGATCGCTGGATAATAATAAATAACCTTATTTGAATAGAAATAAATAGTGGTTGGAAATTAATTATTCTTTTTACATAAGGTTTTTGGTGATGAAAACTTAGTGTCACGAGCGGGATTCGAACACAGACCTTCGGCTCAATACGCCGCTGCTCTAATCATTTGAACTTCTTGAATTCGATCCCTTGGATACAATTTTCTCATCTCAATTTTCAACCGTTCTAAATTTATTTTTCTCTTTTTGCCATATTTTTGCCATATTCAAAGTGGCTGTAAAGTTGAAAAGCAGTTACAAAGACTAAATATATGTTTTTATCTTTTACATATGGAAGTAATAAAACCGTTTTCGCCAGTATTAAAGTAACCAGTATTTTAGTTTTAGAAATAGTTTTTACGATTTATCTCCTAGAGGCGATAATCCTTTTTTTTATGAAAAAGATCTTCCATGCTTCTTATCGTCTTACGCTCTCTGGAACAGCCTCTCCCTCGCTATCTTTTATTGATAAATGTTCTAAATGTTCTTCGAAAGAAATGTTCTAAATTTCTTTCTTAAATGTTTCAAGTGTCTTACCTTATTTTTGTTTTCACCGGAGCATTATTATTAATTCCGATAAACCTAGCCAAAGCTTGGCTCTGGAGAGTGACGAATTCGAGCAAGTTGCGCCAACGCCGTGATTCAGCATGCTGTTCAAAAGATGAGTCCTTCTTGGATCTTCTTGTTCTTCTTCTTTAGTCTTCTCGGGCTGAACTTTAATTGTTTTATTTTATCTATTTTTGTTTAAAACCTTGCCTCCTAGATTTCGCTTTCATTTTAAATTCCTTCTTGGGGATGTTTGTAAATATATTTTTTGTATCGTTACCAAATGTGTCCTCCATTGGGCGAATTTGCAGTTAGAAATAAAATCAAAATTGTTTGTTAAAATCATTATTGTTTAGTGCAATTATTATTGGTGGTCCTTATTTTCTATTGTTTTCTCAACTTTTTGGACTCCCTCTTGAAAATTACTTCTACTTACAACCATGCCAAAGAAATGTTTGTGCGGAAGAGTCTCGAGTTTCATTGTCGGATGAACAATCTGCTTAATAATTTAACTATCTAATATCTAAGTGTGAAAATGTGTTTCGACTAAGCCCCGTTCGACTAAGAAGTTTGGTAAGCACGTTTGGTGAAAAGTATAAATTTTCATTTTTCCCTCAAACATTAGTCTTTAGTTATTCAGATATCGTGAGATGCGGTCGGGTGTGATGTAGGTTTCAGAAAAACATTTTCTTTATCGTGCCAACGTTTCGATCTTTTATTGAGATCATCTTCAGGGCTCAAAGTGTTTGTCTTCTGTGTAATTGTGCCATCCTTGTGTGTCATGTTGAGAGTGCCCGGTCGGAACACGACACACAAGGATGGCACAATTACACAGAAGACAAACACTTTGAGCCCTGAAGATGATCTCAATAAACGATCGAAACGTTGGCACGATAAAGAAAATGTTTTTCTGAAACCTACATCACACCCGACCGCATCTCACGATATCTGAATAACTATCGATTAACGGTCACTAATCTCTACACATTAGAGTCTTTTTTGTGAAAAACTCTTCTTCGACGTTCTACCGACCGTTTCAGAAATACAACAACCTCTAGCTTTAAAAAGAAAAAAACCTATTTAAACATATGTCGCAGGGTCACTGGATTCTAACCCAGGACCTTTACCTTACAGTGATGAGCGCCCGCCAAAAACATTGCGGCCACCGACGCCCCAAGTTGTTTATGTTTGTTGATCTTTGAAAATGAAAGATATATACATAATATTTTTTTTGTGCATCTTTGTGAACTGTAATATTTTGTTTTGTAACAATATACTCCTTATAGATTTTATTTACAGTACTACACAAAAAGGTCACGTATTAACGTACGTCTTTAATTTTGTGGTATCATCAGCATTCATTGAAATTAAAAGTGTTTTTGTTGATTACTATCTGATAGTCTCGTTCGACTAAGAAATTTGGTAAAGTTTGGTGAAAAGTATGAATTTTCTTTTCTCCACCAAACGTTTGGGTAATATTTCGGAAATAGAATTTACTGGAGTTCGATCTTGCTAGCTGTAAATTCAGTTCTTAATTCATTATGCTTGGTTTGTAAAAAATATTAATATTTGATAACCTCGTGAATTATTAATAATAGTTTTGAAGTTGCAATAAAGTTGATTTATTTTTCAAAAGCACTACGAAGGAATTGAGTGTTGTTTTCATCTAAGTCCTGATTTTTAACATAAATTGATCTACCTGTATTTATTGAAATATAATTTTCATTTTTACCTAAAACATCACTAAAACACATCAAATCTCCTACTTCTTTATTTAATTTTTTTTAAACATTGATGTGTTCTTAATCACACTTAATTGTATTTATGCCCAGCACTTTTCTACCAAAAAGTCGCATTAATACAGTGACATTTAAACTGACCACGCTTTCTGGAATGTTGAAAAAATAAAAATAAACTGCACAATAAACACTTCCTTAACTAAATAAAAAATGTGAAACGGCCATTGTTTCGTCAAGAAATACGATTTAGGAAATTTCTTTTCAAAACGGGTTATTAAACAACAAACAAAATACGTGTTAAAAGTAATTTTATTGAACATTTCTTTTCCCACCAAAATCAAAATGAAGCCAATGTCAGAAACGTTTTTACGCAAATCAATTCCAAAAGAATAAATGGAGATACACGAAAGAAAAAAATTTACGAACTAGATAGTTTAACGTACATTAAATCAATAAAAACATAATTAGGGTCTAGTCTTTCCAGAAATTTTAAGAAGCACAACATTAAAACAATAAATTTTACTCACACAAATACACAAAAATTTGACTAATATTGAATAGATTTGAACATTATTTCACTCAAAACAGTTTAAAATAAAATCGGTGTTGTCAAATCGATGTTAAGAACAGTTGTTTAAATTATAGATAATGTACGAAAAATGAATGCTTTCAAATCTAAATTTATGAAAACTGGATAACTAACTAATAATTTCAAAGTCAGTCAAAATTTCAATTTTCAATAAAAAGGAACTAATGTACTTTAATACATTTCTTTAAGAAAAGGCGTTATCTCCGAACAACTTTACAAAAATCCTCGAAGGATTCTACTACAATAACTGTAACTAACAATCACTATTTACTGCAATTGTAACAAGGTTTGGTTTGGATTGGAATAGATTCTGTTATTTTTATACTTACTGACATCTTAGCCAGTTGTAGTAAACATCAATTTTGGAACATGAACGTAGTGCATGAGTCGTTGAAAGCTTCTGGGGAGTGCACTGGCCCCAATTTCACACCGCCACTTCACACGATAGATATGCATAAAAAAACCATGTAAGTGGGATAATTTGCTAAAATGACTTCCTCGATAGAAAGATCTTCCTCGGTTGTGTAATTCATTTCAAAAAAATTCCCCAGGTTTGCTTAGAGACGTTTTGAGACAGTTTTCGGAATCTATTCGGCTACGGTCTTTAAGGCGTATCTGGTGATGAGGTCGGTTTACAAGCTGAAAGTGGCACGTGTAAGAGGTGTCGAAAGAAAGGAAGGGACAGCGTACACTGTCAAACTACTATCGTTACTCAAGCCAACCTTGGGTCTGGTCACAGTTAGTAATTTCCATTGTACCGAACTCTAGGTTGTAGCCCTCCCCCTTTTCGTATAAAACGGTGGCGACGCTCACCCCTTAGCATCAGTCACTCGACACTTCCAGAACTAAGAAGAAATGGCCTGTACCAAGTTTGTCGTGAGTACTCCTGAGAGGTTTTCAACAGAGAGTTTCAGCAGTGGTTTTTAAGTGTTCCTTTCATTTTAGGTGTTTTGCTGCCTCATTGGCTTAACTCTCGCAGTAGACCAGGCCAAGAAAGGTGTCCAGTCTGGAGAAAAATCATCAGACCTTAAGTCGGAATCTACCCTCGGATTAGGATACGGCCTAGGTTACGGATACGCATATCCTTATCTGAATTCATACGGAGGACTCGGTTACGCCGGATACGGCGGCGGCTACGGAGGCGGTTACGGAGGTTACGGCGGTCTCGCTAAGTACGGAGTACCTGTTTATAACTACGGCTATGCTCTTGGACACGCTGGCGGATTAGGCGGATTCGGCGGATATGCCGGATTAGGTGGATATGCTGGATACGGTGGTCATGCCGGATACGGTAATCGTGGTAAATATAATACTCGAAATTTTAAATATAGTTAACTTATCCTGTTATGATTAATCTTTAGGTTATGCCTACCCCGGCTATGCCGTCGGACACTACGGATACGGAGGACTTCTCGGTGGATACTACGGTTAAGACCCAGCCTGTCATTCGCTAATTGCCAAAGCTCAACCCCGCTTGAAAGTCTGTGTATTATTTATTTTCTTTTTATGATATAAATATACGTATATTTATACTTTAAATAAGTTTTAGTTTTCTTCCCTCTGAATATTATTTATAAATTAAAAAAAATGCTTGTAAATTTGAAAATTTAATTTATTATGAGAATAATTTTCTACAAACTGTGATAGATAATAAAATTTAGAGCAGTCATGTGCATTACATATACCCAACATATTCTATCTAGAAAAGTTAAATTATATGGAATTGATATGAATATTATTTTATCCAAAACAGTTCAAAACGAAACCAGTTTGTCACAGTTCTTAACAAGTGTATTATTAAATCAAATATAATGTACTCGTTCAAACCAAACATAAGAATAATGTTCTACAAATTCTAATACATAATAAAATTTAAAGTAGTCATGTGCGTGTTATGTGATCTGATTTTTTAAATTTAATTGAAGGTAATTGAATGTCCATCCTATCTAAAATATATCATTCGAAAAAATATGGCTATTCAAACGATAAAGGATTCTTAATGTAAAATAATACCAATAGCTTAAGATGTAAGAATGTTTTTATATGAGGTCATTAGCCATGACAGCAACATAGGAGCCACTTAAATTGTGTACAAATGCTATTAGATGTCATACATTTTCTTATATTACTGTATTTTACATTTATAGCAAAAACATTTCAATAAATTTTGTAAGCATGACTGTGGGCAAAGAGAAGAGACTATAGGTCTAGTAAAACTAAATATTTATTTATTAATAATCAGAAATACCGGTAATTTTATGTATATACATATATATATATATATATATATATATATATATATAAGCTCAATTCTACCCATATATCTATTTGTGTACATTTATGCGCAGGTCCGAGCTTACGACTTCTCCCATGCCTCGAGATTCAGTCACCTCGGTGTTTTGGTAGTCCGGGGTCAGACCTTGGTCTTATTCACACTACAGTCGATGTTAGACTCAAGGGGTTATCGACATCAAGGTTATTTCAACCCCTAACGTGTTATATTAAATGAATGTGTACTCATTCTTAAAAACCTCCCTCTTATTTAAATAGATAAATTGGTAACTAGATATTTGACTCTATCGCCCTTTATCATATAAACGATTGTACTTACCTTTATATAATTGAGGGTCGATAGGATATTCGGCCATCGGCACTCTTGTACTACATAAGTACTCGAAATTTTTACTGTACATTCAAGCTGATCTCACGACCAATTCACTGTATCGTCTGATATATTCATTGGTATGGATTAAACAACGAGGGTTGTAATTGGTGAACTAATACTACATATGATTTCACTAGTTTTCGTGGTCCGCTTGACCAAGTAATATTTTTCAATTAATTAAAATTTTTGGTTGAGATAAAAGTGTCACGAGCGGGATTCGAACCCACGATCTTCGGCTAGATACGCCGCTACTCTGCAACTTGAGCTATCGTGACCGAGCCATTTAAATTTATTCACTTTGTAGAACGTTTAAATATCTCTGTCTCTCTCCCTCTCTCCCTCCCACCATCAAACCCTCTCACCTTTTCTCTCTCTCTCTCTCTCTCTCTCTCTCTCTCTCTCTCTCTTCTTTTTCAGAATCGTGTGGGAAATCGGACACTAGAAAGTTCGTTAATGATCGCCCAAATAATGCTGACAAGAAAGGAGGTGAAACCCTTCGAAAGAGCAACCAAGAAAATAAATTTACATGTCATATTCACCAAATTCCACTTTTACACTGTTAAAATACTAAACGACAACATGCAAGTACATTTTAAGTAGAGTTATTTTGTTTAAAAATATATTATATTAGATCTTCATGTTTTGTTAAGTGTGAATGCATGTATGAACCCAACTGTAACTTTTGAACGGAAAATTAAAAATTAAGGCACTCTCAACACGACACACAAGAATGACACATCTACACAGAAAACAAACACTTTGAGCCCTGATGATGATATCAATAATGATCGAAACGTTGGCACGATAAAGAAAATGTTTTTCTAAAATCTACGTCACACCAGACCATATCTCACGATCTCCAAATAATTATTAAAAATTTTTTTTTTTTTTTTTTTTACTTCATTTATTTATATCTACAACTGTACATGCATGATATACAACCAGCAGATTGGATTTCAGACTGTGTGTTTGGCATTATGGGCGNCAGAAAACAAACACTTTGAGCCCTGATGATGATATCAATAATGATCGAAACGTTGGCACGATAAAGAAAATGTTTTTCTAAAACCTACGTCACACCAGACCATATCTCACGATCTCCAAATAATTATTAAAAATTAAACTACTTTTCAAAATGTGAATATATTTTCGTATTAGTTAATATTTTAAATGAGTAATATATAGTTTCCATCGCTAGAAAGCTCAACGAAAGTACTGAATGTTATTTTTCTAATTGGCTCCATTTCTGATTGCCTTTTAAGATAAAACTATACATTTATATTTTCGGAATTAATGTGGGTTATCAAACCTTGGACAATTATAAAATTATACTTAAGTCAATTTTTATTTTTACAAATCTGTACTTACAGTTTTACAAGCAGTTATTATTCATGAGGAAATTTTCTTAACTATTTCCTTAATCAATTTGGACGTTAAGCTTTATCAAAATTTAGGAGTAAAAATGCATGTGCCCAGAGACTTAAAATGATTACTTTTTATTTACCTATCCACCTCCTCACTATATTGACGGAGACCCCATAACAATGGACCACGTCAAACTGTTTGAATTTAAAAAATTGCGAAGGGGTATCCGAAAAACCTTTATCACTAATCCTCATTCATAGTTTTTAAATTCAAAATGTTGTGGTTCAAAATGCTAAAAGTGGATATTCTTCTTTTAATTTATCATATAATCTTAAATAATCCGTTGTGAAATAATTTCTTATTTAAAAAATATAACATGTACAATGTTTTCCTTATGTTGTCGTACCTATGTTTTGTAATTTTGATACTCAAAAAATTAATATTTGGAACAAGGATAAAAAAAGCACTTTCTAAAAGACACAATTTAATTAATTAAAAGAAATATTAAAATACGTTATACAATGTACTTGTTCTTAGTACTTTTTCTGTGAGCCGTAGTATTTTTGGAGGTAGGTGGGAAGGCCGCCAAAGTATCCCAGACCGTAGCCGTATCCAGGGTAATCGTCACCTAAAAAGATTTAATCATTTTTAAATGTTATAAATTATAGTAAATTGTAAAGTAAATTAGGAAATTAGTTGCATTGCTGATATTTATTAAGAAAAAATAGAGTATATGTACTATTTAAATAAGTGTCTTAAAAAAAGCTACAGTGAGGGTTAAATCATTAGTAATTCTAAATCTGCATATTTATTAATTTAAGGTGAAAAACATTACAATCATTTTTAAATGCTATAAATTATAGTAAATTGTAAAGTAAACTAGGGAATTGGTTGCATCCCTTATATTTACTAAGGAAAAATAGAGTATATGTACTATTTAAATAAGTGTCCTAAAAAAAGCTACAGTGGGGGTTAAATCATTAGTAATTCTAAATCTGCATATTTATTAAAAAACCCTATTTTGCTGTATTCTACTCCACCCCATTCTACTATCTACAATAGTATAATAGAATAAATATGCATATTTATTCACCTTTTTTTAAGGTGAAAAACATTAAAATCAATTTTAAAAAGAAAAAAATCTTATAAAGCTTTAGTTTTCAATAGAAATTATATTTTTCTTATTACTAATTCAGGTTTTCGTCAACTTCAATAGTTTAAATGATATCAGTGATTTATATTCTTGTAACATTAAGTGTGAATATTAACAATTATCTACTTTCTTGTATTGTCGAAAAGTATTATTTTTCTATTGATAAATCAGGCAAAAGGTCAATTTAAATGAATACACTCAGCCTCTAAAATAATTATTCGAAAGGTAAACAAATAATGAATATCCACTTACAATACGAAAAATGATGGTTTTAAACCTAGATTTACAGAAAAATTTGTCGAAATCTTGCCAAATGAACTGGATTTTAATTCGCAATTATATGTTAAATGCTGATATCAATTATATTGAGGTAAAGATTAGTAGTACATTTAATTATATGTGATGCCAAATAAAACAATTGTAGATAGTAGAATGGGGTGGAGTAGAATACAGCAAAATAGGGTTTTTTAACTCACTCCTTCGAGAAGGTACGATTTAAAAAAATGCGAAATCCAAACTTGTCAGAAAAAGTATCTTCTTTAATTATGCGTGTGTAATCAAAATTGAAGTCGTTTTTAACTCGTCGTTATGTTGTGTGTATGTCAGTAGTCACCGACTTAGCCCTTTCAGACCAACTGGAAGCAGTTGCCCTTGCACAAAGCAATAAAATTTAAATATTTGAAGTTATTTGAGGAATTTTAAAAAAATCTCTACGCTGTGGCAAAGTTTTGTTAGATGTTTTCCAATTTCACAAAAATTGTTTCATTTAATAAAATGCTAGAAAAACGAAAGAAATATGGACGAAAACGTTTATAAATATTTGAGATTGTATAAATTTATTATAACCTCTGTATACAATATTTTTTGTTGTAACGGTGAGTTCCTTTTGTGAGAAATAATAGAGAAAAAACCTTCGTTGAGTGTTTCATTATCTTCTTCGATATTAAACCGAGAAGGTCCACGTTCTCAACGCTTTTGAGAAGAAACTCGCCGTTCACTCGAATCACCAATGTAAAATAGTTTCCCCTTTGTATGTTGTTTCTTTTTACCTTTTTGGCCGTCACCGTTACCGAGGGATCCGAGTCCGTCTATGTAGCTGTAGACGGGTATGTCAAAAGAGAGACCGCCATTGCCACCTTGGCCGTACTGCGTGTACGCCTGGAAACCACCCTCGGGTCCGGCCCTTCCGATTTCTCCATAGCTGCCGAAGTAGGTTAAGCTCTTTTGGACTGGCCGCATCGGAGGATAAGCCAGGCAAAGGCTCGGCCAGAAAACAAGAGCCTGAAATAGTAGTTAAAAAAGAGTTACATTTGTTGTCCATTCTCCCGCGCACAATCTGCCAGGAGCGTCGTGGCTCCTTTTATTCGTTCTAAAATATCTGTGCACTGACCCAGTGCTGAAGATTGCGAAAATCTGAAAGATAAAAACGGCGAAAATAAACAGACCCAAATGATCGGAAACGACCAAACTACAGGTTGATCTGTGCATAATATCTCAAAATCTATACTATCATGGTGTTTCCGGATTATTGGATAAATGAAACTTGGAAAAATTCTTATTATACGAAATTTAAAAATAGAAAAACCGGTTTAGACCAATTTCTAATATTTTTCGCTTATTATTTTTCAAAATTCAAAAACGTATTATCTTAGAGCAATGTCAGGATTTGCAAACGTGTCAAATATGTACAAGTTTGTGATTATCTAAGAATGCATTTGGCACTGGTTGGGTTTGAATTTATATAGAATTCTTTAAACTGACATTTGCCACCTAAATTTAAAAAAAATCGTTCACTTACTATAAGGTGATTAAGGATCTTCATGACAAACTAGTGATTTCATCATACCTCCTCTTTTTATATACGACTCAAGACCGACCTTTTCTTACTTTAAACATCGAATATCCGTGAAAAGCGGCGGCCTTAGGGAAATTCTTCAATTTCAAGGTATGTTAAAAGCCGAGCGGAAAAAGACGATCAAGTAGAACAATCATCAATATCAGCAAATACCATTCATCCGCTGTTCGCTAGTTTTTAATTTTTTACCACTATGAAATAGTGTTGTTTCCATAAAGTTTTACAATCACCAGCCTTTTTACAGAACCCGGTTGAGGCATCAAGCGGAAATACACGGAATAGCTCTGCCTAATCGCTTGGATTATCCATGACGCCCGTTTTAAACTTACTGAATTTGACGCTTGTCCACACTCTCTGTTAATACATGACATGGCTGTTGTGTAATAATAACATTAACAACATAAGTGCGGTATGGGTATTATGAACGTATTTTGTAATATTTTCATTCAACTTCCTAAATCACTCCAATCCAGGTTTATTATAAAAAAATAGCAAATAAATAATACGTTAATACGAACAAATCCATTGGTTACATACAAATTTGCTTTTGAATATGCTAAAAAACATAAAAAGTTTATTTGCTTAATAACGAATTTTAAAATTAATTCGAACTTCATTCTACTCAATTAAATAGTTGAAATCAAGAGCAATATTTGCATATTGGTCATAACAAGATCACACACGGATTTTTTCTAATGGGAATGCCACAACCCCCCATTGTGTTGAGAACTTAGCACGGTAGAGCACATAATAACAGACTGCAAAAAAATATTGTAATTTTAAGTCTGCAAAGAAAAAAATACGACATCGACAGCAGGAACATATCGCAGATTCAATATCCCAGGGTCAAAATTTGTACCTTTATGTATGTGATATGTGTTATTTATTGGAACGAATGTATTTATTTGCGAGAATGGAATAATTTCCCTGAGGAAAATCGAGTACTCTGGAATAGTGTGAATGTATTTATTAGCGCAAATGAAAGGGCTTTTACCAATTACCCCGTGGAATAAAGAGTCTTCGGGGTTATTTTAATGAATTTGGGAATGTAATTTATTAGCGTGAACGGAGGGGCTTATCCTCAATTATTCCAAGGAATATAAAATACTCTGGGGTAGAGTGAACGATTACCAGACTATTATGCTTTCGTGTATATTTTTATTATAAGTGTTATTTTATCCACAATTGATGAGGCTATGAGGTACAGAATGGATAGCATAAACAGGATAAACAAAGAAAGAGTCGGTTAAAAATAATCAACTTTGCACAACATAAAAATATAAATTTATGTTTAGTTATTAAACACAGCCAATATTTTTATTTGCATTCTCTTGTACGACGATCTTCTTAATTATTCCAACAAATCCGTTTAACAAATCTATTACTGATTTTTTTTGGAATGGTGTTTGCCTCAAAGTATTTTAGTTAAATCAGCTAATTTGTCGTTCGTTGCTCAAAACTGAAATATGTTTTATGTTTTGCTGTACAAATTAAGCCGTACATTTTAATTAGAATCTATTGAAAGGCGTGTGGTTTAATGACTGCTCACCGAATTGGCCAAGTTCTAAGCATGATTTTCTATTAAAAAAAAGATTAATGCTGAATGTTGAAAATATAACTTAAATTATTAAATTTACTTACAAATGGAGGCTACGGTTCAACCATTTAAATTATGTTTTGTTGGATGGATACATGCATTCGTTCTTGTGAGCGTTCTAGCCAATGGATCAAAAACATAATTATTAAAATTTAATCATTTAAAGACTCTTTCAAAATATAATTTTCTGCCTCGGCTCTCCTTGTATTTTAAAGTTTAAATGTCAATCGGTTCGTGCTTTTTTCGTACGATAAGTACGTATATGAGGGTTCGTATTTACACCGACTCGATGTATATGTAGAAACTTAGAAACCATACTACAAACAAAAAATGTGTAATAATACAATTATAATTCGTAAGCACCCTTTTAATGCGCTTTAAGGTAATAATAAATTTTATATCAATAAAAGTTATAGATTTTTAGAAACATTTTTTTCTGATGTCTGGAGTTACAGTTAAAACTTCATAACTCCTCTGGATTTTATCCAAATTCTACCTTATTATAACATCTTTCAATTAATTAATCTTTATGTAAGGTATTGGTTGAGATAAAAAAGTCAAGTGTCACGAGCGGGATTCGAACTCACGACCTTCGGCTAAATACGCCGCTGCTGTACCACTTGAGCTATCGTGACTTTGATCCATTGGGATACTTGACTTGTTTATCTCAACCAATACCTTACATAAAAATTAATTAATTGAAAAATGTTATTTAGTCAATCGGACCACGAAATCTAATGAACTTATCATAACAGTTAGAAAGTGGACGTATTTACATTATTTGCCATTTCAATTGAGCATAATAAGGATGAACAACAAAAAAAAAAAAAAAAAAAAAAAAAAAAAAAAATCTCGAACGTTTTACTCTTTATCCCAGTTGTATTTTATTTATCGAGAATATATTTGTGCCAATAAGTGGAGTTCATATATGTTGAAACCGGTATAAATTTTCAGGAAGAATAGTTAGGTCGTTTCAAAGTTATCTCCAGTTTTGTTCTTAACGAAAAAAAAACGGGTATTTGAAGGCGAATAAATTGAGAATTTTTCCTCTAAAAATTTGAATTCAAGGTTTTTTTGATGTACAAAAACTAGCACTATCTGCGAGTGTTGTTAAAGAATTTTTAACCTAGTTTGCTGCCTTGCTAGGTCACAAAATAAGAATACACACCCAAATGCAAACACACAAACAAACACACACACACACACACACACACACACATAATATCTATACCATTGCTACCCAGCAAATCCAATTTTCGCGTAATGACAGAGCGAGATAGAATCAGAATTGATTGAACATATAGATAGATTATTTTGTTGAAAAGGTAGACAGGCAAAAATTCAGAGAGATGAATTTGGGAATGTTAATGTCTGTGTAAACAGATAATATTATTTTCAACCCAGTCATCCTTAAAATTATGATAGTGGGCAAAAGGACTATTTATTTGTTTCAGTGGTCACCAAGAAAAATGTCGAACTGTTATGTAAAGTACAGTTTAAAAAAAATTCAACAATTGTTTTCTTGCCTTAGTTTTGTAAAGACGTTTCGAATGTTATCCTTATTATTACTACAATAAAATACTTAATCTTGTTTCTATCTGATGTAATTGATTAAACACTAAGGCCAAGGATTAGTGGAAAATTATCCCGGAAGGCTCTCAGCCGACTTACGCAACAGAATTTCGGTATTAACTTTTTTATGCCTATTGTTATTCATTTTCAGGCTGACTTGCTTCATCATTATGCAGGCGTGAGGCCCCCGTCTCGATACTTCCAAGGATTCACTTACCGTCTGTGCTATCTGATTCAACTGAAAAATGGAGGAAATATACTTGTATATATTTGAATCAGATAATGATAATACATATAATAGAAATTACCTCCTGCTTCTTTCGTACAGAATAATTTAAGCTAAATTGTTCGCCCGGTTGTAAATTTTCAAATAAATTATACCGTGGTGTAAAACATTAAGAAGTACAAGTAAAAAGTAATTTCTGTTGTACGGTCAACTACTTGTGAGAAAAAATAAAATTATTATTAAGATTTGGATCGTTTTAAAGAAAACCTCACGAGAAGAGGCTTATTCGACTGCATCGTAGGTTGTACAGTTCTTGGTGCCACTAAGTTCGCATATCAGATTTAGGAAATTTACATGAATAAAATTAGAGTTAAGTGTGGTTTTAAATAGATAAGACTATAAACCAAAAATGGAATGTAGAATCAATCATGTCATTTTTACTGTTAGGAATATGGCTACCTATCTTCTTGTAACAAGAACACAGGTAATTTATTAAAAACCAAATATCATAGAAGTCATTAAAATGACGAATATTTCTTAAAGGACAACATAACCTAATTTCAAACGAAGGAGTCCTAATGACAATAAAAACAAATTTAGTACTTTGGTTCAAAACTATCAATTACACAGTCAGGGGAAAAAAATAACAGTTGGAATAGTCCATACCTTTTTTTGTTCCTCGTGGATGTGCAGACAGAGAATGATGTGTCAATGAACAAAAGCAACCACGCGCTTATATTCTTATATACTTAAACTTCAATGAATTTCACACTCTTACTTCTTTTTCTAAACCTTCAAAAATCTCAAAAATTCGGAAAAGTCGGAAAATCTCCTTACGAATGCTTTAACGCTTGAATTTATATGATACAATTTTTTTTGCATTTTCCATGCTGCTAAATTAAAGAACTAATAAAGCATAGTTACGTTAACTATCGCCATAGTCACTTCTTTTATGAAAAAAAAAAAATCCAGTTTAACCGATCATTGAACAGTTTTTTATTAACATGTTCCCTTTAAATAGATTACATGTTTTTCTTATAGTGATGATTATAGTAATATATTGATAACTTTGTGTAAATCACAAGGAACTCGGAACTGATGAGCTAAACTTAACTATTCCATAACAAATCAATAAATTATTTTAAAATAACACGACATCTGATTAATAATTTAATCATTTCATTAACTTATTAAATTCACTAGTTTTTCGTGGTCCGCTCGACCAATTAATATATTTCAATTAATTAAGGTTTTTAGTTGAGATAAAAAAATCAGTTCGAACCCACGACCTTCGGGGGCCTTCATCAGAAGTTACGATAGCTCAAGTGGTAGAGCAGCGGCGTATCTAGCAGAAGGTCGTGGGTTTGAATCCCGCTCGTGATAGTGACTTTTTTATCTCAAATAAAAACCTTAATCAATTGAAACATTTCATTAACTTTTAGTTTTGATGACCGTTTTGATTTTGGAAGCTCTCAAATTTGTCCTTCGTCACCGATTCCTCTGGACATGCCGGGCCACCTGTATCCCTTCTCAGCTGCGGCCCGAATCAAATCAAAGACAAGTTGATTGTAAATAGTTCAATAAAAAATAATAATAATAATAATTCTTTATTGTCGGATGTCAAGCCATACATTTCGGTAGATACAATTTAAATGTGGGTAACTAAAAGAGTTTCCTCGGTTAGAAAAATGGAAAATATAAAATGTATTGAAAACGGTCCAACCTCCGATTAAGATATGAGTAGAGAAGAGCAAGTTGACATAATCAAAGACAAATTTTCCTGGCCAAGCAATCTATCCTGTTATACATATAACAGGGAAGACCTATTTAGTTTATTTAAATTCAAAGCTCGTTTTTATGTCCCTTTTCTCCACTAATTCCTTAACAACCATCTAGGAAATAGGAGGGTTGTTTAGTGCCAAAACAAGAAATCCTACGCTCCATTTGGAATTATGTTGAGAGTATGGCGGGTCCGCCGGTATAGGGTCTCGGGATAGGTAAGGTTTGGCGAGGAAGGAGGAGAGTAAATTAAAAATAAAATTGGTACTTTTGCGGAATTTTTTAAAGTACAAACTAATAACTTCAAGGATAAGCGAGAATGGCTGGGATTGTTTCGATCAACACCGAAACACTAAATGAAAATCAGGATGAATAATAATAAAAATAATAAAATACGTCCAGGTGATGGAATATTACAAGGAATTATTATTTGTAGATTGTGAGATACCGTCTGGTGTGACGTAGGTTTTAGAAAAACATTTTCTTTATCGTGCCAACGTTTCGATATTTAGAGAGATCATCTTCAGGGCTCAAAGTGTATGTTTTCTGTGTAGATGTGTCATTCTTGTGTGTCGTGTTGAGGGGGCCCTCTGTTCATAGAATCCCATGTTCTTTGTTCTTCTCGTGTAAAAATGTGTGGTGTTTAGTGGCCGTCAATGATTATTCGGAGATCGTGAGATGCGGTCTGATGTGACGTAGGTTTTAGAAAAACATTTTCTTTATCGTGCCAACGTTTCGATCTTTATTGAGATCGTCTTCAGGGCTCAAAGAGTGGTTTGTTTTCTGTGTAATTTGGCACTCTCAACACGACACACAAGAATGACGCATCTACACATTACAAGGAATATTGTTGTTTGATGGCTTCAACAATTTAAGTATCTAGAATTTAATTTGTTGAAATCACCTTCACACCATTTGGCACCATAAGATTAGCACCACACTTTATGATCTGATGATGACGAGAATAAAGATCGAAACGTCGGCAAAAAAATGAAACAGGCTTTTCATTTTTGAGCGCACCTCATGTCTTCAACAAATTTTGAAACATAAGGTCGCATTTCTAGGCTACATTTTTAAAAGCATATGCTTTAAAGCAACAATTTAAATATAAGTAAATATTTTTCTTCTAAAATAAAGGAGTAAATAATATGCACCAAAAACTAATTTTTTGTTGCATACAAAAATCGTTTCATTTATTAAACAATAATTAAAGGGTCTTTGGTGGCCGCAACGGTTTAGTTTAGTCTTTGACACGGCTCATCACTGTAAGTTAAAGGTCCCGGGTTCGAATGCAGGGGCCGCTGACATAATTACAATTTTTTAAATATACCGGCACCCGGAGGGTTCATATGATTCTCGTAGTTTAAATAATCTCGTTTAAAAAAGAAAAAGAAAAATTATAAGCAATCACATGTAATATTGTATATTGTAATACGTAATAATAGTATAAAAAATATTTTTAGGAATAAATTGTTTTTACTATTATCTGCGACCCAACATGTTATATACATATTGCTACCAACTAATTGATCAATGCAAATTAAAAAAATATATAATCCGCCGTATAACACTTTTAAAAAAACAAGGAAAATTGATAGTTCAATTTATATGTATCCCTTATTCGAAACGTTGTCTCTCCTTATGTTATCCAAGAAATAATCACCGAAAAACAAAAGAGGAAAGTGGAATAGTCGAAAGGTTGTTTAATTTTTGCAGCTCTAATAAATCATAGGCTCATGTTTATACTTACACATTCCTGAAGGGGTGTCATTACAAAGTTTGTCAGACGTCCTCAGCTGTTATGCAACGGCGATTTTTTTTCTTCTTCTTTTCTTTTTTGGGGAAAATCAAATCGGTCAGTTGCTCTCGCGGTTTTTACAATTTGCATGAACCTCGGGTCACGTACCCGTTTTTCATGGTCAATGTCGTTTCTCGGTTTCCGCAGCCGTCCCCTCGGAAAACACCACTATATAACAGCCCCATTATGGAAGGACGGTCCACAGTTGACGCTTGAACAGCACGACCGACTCAATTAACGAAATGGCCTTCGCTAAGATTGTTGTAAGTACCATTCAAAATTAAAATTGAAAAACAAAGTTTTTTGAAAAATTTCAAGTCAAAATGATATCTTCTATATACATACGCTAAAGACTGTACGATCTCAGAAATTAAAATTACAGAGATACATGTATATTTGTAAAATGTTTTTGTATGGCGAAAAGGAGGCATTGTTTAAATAATTTAAGACATATCTTTTTTGAAAATTCTTCGTGTAGTCTACAAAATAAAGACTTTTGATTTAGCCATTACCGATCATTTTTTCTTTTACAGTAAAAATTCAATTGCTTTAATATTCAATCGTTCAGTAAATCTTTTGACTTTGATTAAGATATCGCGAAAAACTCCGTTTACCGGCGACAATTGGGATTAAGCGGAATGTAAAAATCGAACGATCTTAAGCCAACTAGGATTTTTGACCAAATCAAGACAAATCTCTTTTAAACTTTCAGCTTGCCCTTGGCTTCATTGCCGTCGCTTTGGCAGCCGGTGTCGAGAAGAAACAGGACATGCAGACCGACTCGACCTACGGCTTGGGTTACGCTTATGGTGCTTACCCATACCACGGTCTCGGGTACGCCAAATTGGCCTACCCTGGCTACGCATACGGATACGGCTACTACCCTCACGCTTACAGCCACGGTAAGGACCAAAAATATACTTAAACAATTCTAAATTTGTATTAATACGATTGAAATTTCAGCTTACGCTTATCCCGGAGTCGCCTACGGAAAATACCCCTATGCCTACGGATACTACGGTTGAATGGATGCCACCTGAACGATCGCTTTCTGAAAATAATTATTTAAAATTTGTACAGATGGAAGTTTTAAAATAAAACAATTACATTACAATTCTTGATGTCTGTTTATTTTAATTTCATTTTTACAAAAATTACACTTTGTTGTTGTCTTTATGTCTTGTTGTCTTATTATATTGCACCATGTTGTAATTTCTGAAATAGTGTACTATGGTCATCTTCTTCTACATTTAGTTGTGAGTATAAATTCTCCACTAAAAAATGGTAATTGTAAGTGTACAATTAAATCTTTTATATTTTTAATTGTTTATTCCATTTATGAAAATTATTTTTCCCGTCAAGTTTACAGCATCAAAATTAGAGTGAATTATTAAAAAAATTAAACGGAACTTACATTAGCACCATGAAAAAATGATACTAAGGTCGTAGGATCAACGGTCTAAGGAAAAGTCGAAAAATATTAAACACGACTGTCTGAGCGTCCTTGCTAACGAGCACTAGGAACCGACAAAAAAATATTTTCAATATTTTTTTAAAATAATTTATACTATTGTTTTCTCATTATATCGATATGCTTTGTTATGCAGGATAACAAAATAATGCCCAGAAATGTATTCAATGATATTAGATATATAAAATCATACAAAAACTAAAAGACGATCCTAATGAAGTAGGACAAGAATATGATTTATAAAAGTTTTAAATTCGTTTTAAGCACCCTTTAAGGTTCGCAAATAATTTTATGGCAATAAAAAATATTCATATTTAGACTGCATTAGCCAGGTTTAATTTTTTTCTCAGATCTACGCTGTTTCAGTTAAAAATGCATAAATCCTTTTTGTTTACATTTTTTCCACTTTATAGGTGTTTCAATAGGAGAAACATTCAGAGTCAGAGAGAGAGAGAGAGAGAGAGAGAGAGTGAGTGAGATTTACATCTCTCTCTCTCTCTCTCTCTAAAATTTTCTTTATAAAGAACACCTTATAAAGAGGAAAAAATGATTTCCAGATGGATATTAATACATAAAGATGGGGAGAGAGAGAGAGAGAGAGAGAGAGAGAGAGAGAGAGAGAGTGATTGAGATCCACATCTCTCTCTCTCTCTCTCTCTCTCTCTCTAAAAGTTTCTTCTATAAAAACACCTTGTAAGGAGGAAAAAATGATTTGCAGATGGATTTTAATACAGAAAGATGGAGAGAGAGAGAGAGAGAGAGAGAGAGAGAGTGAGAGAGAGAGAGAGAGTGAGATCCACATATCTCTTTCTCTCTCCCTCTTTCTCGCTAAATGTTTCTTCTATAAAAACACCTAATAAAGAGAAAAACATGATTTACAGATGGATATTAATACAGAAAGATGGAGGGAGAGAGAGAGAGAGCGAAGAAAAGGCGGAAAGAAGGAGAAGAGAGTAAGAGAAAGAAAGAGTTAGTGGGACAGAGATAAAAAAGAGAGAAAGAAAAGGGGAAGAGAGAGCGAGAGAGATATGTACTGAAAAAATATATGGCACCCTAATTAACGCCAAATACAGGGTGTCCTTTTTAGATGGCCCAGATGAATTTCCCTTGAACCAATGTTGCTATCAAAAAATACTTGTTTAATATTGTTTAACTTTGTCATTTTGACCTAATTATAATCCCATCGAACCATTGTTTTCAGAGTAAAAAATTGTTTAAAATAATGTGTCAGAATGTCGTATTTGAAATTTTGAAGATAAACTTGGCCTGACGTACCCATAAAATTTTTCTCGAAAAAAGGTAATCATTTGAAACTAGATTATTTGGAGATCAAGATTAACTAACGGTCACTAAAGACCAACTTGAAACTAGACTGAAAAATATTAAACATGTATTTTTTTATAGCGTTATTGGTTCAAGAGAAATTCGTCCTGATCATCTGAAAAGGACACTGTATAACAGATTTGGAAAGTTAGTTTCCTATGTAAATATATGAAATTATCCTGGCTTTTTATAAGTTTAATTGGATGAATTCATGCTTTAATGTATTTTCCTTTGTTTTCATCACCAACAAAAACAACCTCAAGGAATTTCGCAGATAGTAAGGAAAAGTCACCACACGCGCTTCACAGTAATTAGCTTAATAAATGGCCGGGCAATTACAAGACGTTGACACCACTAACAAGCGCTTTCAGGAAAACAATTTTGTACGAGGGTCGGGATGTCCTTTCTTGGGAAGACCAGTGTCACAGGTGAGTACGTTAAATGCAGATAATGAATCAGAAAAGGAAAGTTAATTATTTTTAACGTAAATTTAAACAATGAAAGTCCTTGAGCAGATGAAAAGTTGTCAAGCAAAAATGTTCTAAGTATATGTTTTCTTAGTGGAAAAACAAATATTTCATAGTTTATCGTTTTATTCTTAATACATTTTTTATTTAATACTTTAGATTTTCATTAAAATCTGTTTTATCCAAATGAATTTGGTATATTATTATTGTGATTCTCAACAATATTATTGGTAAAGTAGTTAACGATTTAAATAGAAGATTTATTGTTTTGAACCAATTATGAGATATAAATGGATCCGTAGCCATGGAACAATGAGAATAATTCTTTTTCTGACCAATTTTTGTCCTACTGCAAACAATAATCAAATAAAAACATTCATACATCATGTTGAGGGTAAAGAAGAGGATTTAACTGCTGAGCTTGGAGAGGTGACACTCTACAAATTATAAGAAAACATAATAACGGCTGGATTTATTTAAGATAAAATATCGGTGAATATACTTAAACTTAACACAAGAAGAAATCAGAACAGTAGCCAAAACTTGGAATTGGGCAAGCCTTATTATCAAAGTAGTCAAAGGATGTCCAAAAGAATTATTGAATGGGTACTGAGAAACTGCAAAAGAGGTAGAAGTACTAGTAGTAGAAGCAAAAGGACTACTGGAACGAGTGTGAATAAGCTGTGTGGACTTGGCTTGTAGCAAGAAAGGGTGGAAGAGAAGTTCTGAGTGAATTGCTCTGTAAAGAAAGGTTTGGTGTGTTCATGTTATATTTGTGCAATTTGAACCTGTAATTTATTAAATTCTAACGTGTTTGGAATCTGGTTTCTGGTCAGGTAGAGAAAGAAGTAGACTTCGTGATCACCTTCCATGCTTTCGGCCTTTATAAGACCATCATCAGAACCTGAATAAATATTACAATTTATAGTTATTCAGATATCGTGAGATGCGGTCGGGTGTGACCGCATCTCACGATATCTGAATAACTATCGATTAACGGTCACTAATCTCTTACACATTACAATTTATATTATTACGTTTCATTATTTCATTAATTACAAGTTTTTTGTTTGGTTTAACTTACAACATTCTATTTCTCATATTAACATTTAACTCAATTATCCCCTGAATTAGATTTTATATCAATAAAGGTGGTTCTAATTGTTATATTATTATAGTAAAAACGTTCAAATTATATATATTTTCATTTTTAATTATTTTTAATGCATTTTTTAACAGACATATCGTATGTAAATCCCGAAAGATGAATGTTTATAAATGTATTTTGTTCTAAAACTTATTCTTGTAAATTTTTATTGTCATCGGCCACAAGGGTCAATTACCTTTCGGTTCAATTTGTGCTTACTTGACTGAAAGAACGGAATTAGTTGAAATTGCGGCTTTTTAGCGCCAAGACCCTGCAAGCTTTGTCCGATTCACGGTCCAAGACCGGTCATGATAGGGAAAGACCGGAAGGCAATATGTTATAAATCCTATGAAAATTCGCTTCCTTCGCCAGTATCATCCCGGCAATGAATTACGAGATTGCGGTAAGTTAATCTTGAATGTTCACAATTTTACTGGTCGAGTATGATTTTAGTATTGAGTTTATTTTACTTCATCTGATATGAAAAGCTAATTCATAAATTACGAAGGAAGGAATACACCTGAAAAACTCTTTTTGTTTCTTGCAATCTCGTTTTCAAATTTTTAATTTTTTACAGGATATTTTCATATTGACATAAAACCATGGATGCCAAGAAAAGCTCTCCCCCTCCCTCCCTCTCCCTCACACTTTCTCACTCTCTTTCTCTCTCTCTCTCTCTCTCTCTCTCTCTCTCTCTCTCTATCTCTCTCCTCTCTCTCTTTCTCTTTCTCTCTCTCTGAAACACTGCTTTGTGAGACAAGTGTTGTTTAGGAGTAAGTTTTTCAATTTTCCAATCCAATTCTCTCTTTCTCTTTCCTTTTCTCTTTATATTTTTCTCTCTCTCACTCTCTTTCTCGTTCTCTCTCTCTTTCTTTCTCTCTCTCTTTCTCGCTCTCTCTCTCTCTCTCTCTCTCTCTCTCTCTTCTTAGAAATATGCGCGTGTCTGTTATTCTTCTAATCCTAAATCCAAATCGATCTGTTTAACAATTCGTTTGTTTCAGCTAATCCTTTGCTTTGTGTCGTCCGTCTTCTGCGTTTTTTCCAAAGAGCAAACCCAGGACTTGGACGCGCAAGAGACTTTAGGATGGATGCTGCTGCCGCACGGACCGTTTGCTCAGCACAGAATCAAAAAGAATCTGCAGTCACTTTCTTTGCTCGGCTACAGCCTTGGGCATTACGGTTTCCGACCCTTAGGCTTGGGCCACTTCGGACCTTGGCACTACGGTGTGGGAGGTAATTTTGGCATGGAATACGACGGATACGGACATTTCGGAGGATACGGCTCTATTGGACAAGGTACAGTAAAAAACATGTATCAATAATGTTTATAAGTTGCTACTAATTACCTAACTTAATACGTCAGATAATTTGACTGTAAAAATCACAATAGACAAAATGTAAGTATGCACATGGTGTCAACTTACCTTCAAATTTGAATGGTTAAATATTATAAACAGAAAAATTCCAAATAAGATAGAAAATTAAAGAAAAAATACACAAAGTATGGCTTGCGACGTCAAAACTTATTTAAAAAGTTCAATTAATCTATCTTACAAAATCACTGAATTGGTTAATTATCTAAATTTAATGTTTCTGTTTTGCCAATTGCTAAAGAACAAAAGAACAAGAATAAAAGGCTGTCATAATTTTTATATCAATAATATTTTAAATAAACATATGAAACCGTCAATGGTAGGAGCCATGTCAAAACCTCATTACTGTACGGTAAGTGTCCCCAGTGTTTACAGATGGGCTTTTTTCAAAAAATACCGAAAACCAGGGAGTTTATATGAGCGTATTTCAAATCAAAATAGTATATGACAGCACCAAGGAAATTTATTTCCAGAAGAATTTTCTTCAAATCCCGTACATCAAGAAAACAACATGAATCAGGTTGAACAGGGATTGTTTGTTTGGAACTGTTGAATATTATTGCGTTAAGATAAGTCCAGGGACATTATTTGTAGTCTTCCTTTTGTTAAATATTATATGTGACTTACAAAACGTTTTAAAAGTTACGTGTTTTTAAGGCCGTACAACAATTGAATGCAACACACCCGAGAGCTTTGTTAGTCAGAATTAAGTCAATGTCGGGCTTGACTTAAAAAGAAAAGAAAATAAGCACAATTTTTTCAAGGGATGAATCATAATTGTCAATGGATCAAAACTCAATTCTGAAAGAAACTATTATCAACCGTAAAATATTGAAATTTTGGTTAAAAATTTGTGAAAATGAAGCCTATGTACGTTTATATGCTGAATTATTACCTATTTTGTCATAAAAACAAGTTCATTTTTAAAAATAATTAGTCCATTTTATGGAATAACATGAGAAAAGGGATATTAAATGCACAGTGAATTAAATAATAATTAGCAATGCAGTAACATGAGCGTTACTGGTAATTTTTATCGTTAATTTAACGTTTAACGTTAAACGTTTTAAGAATGTAGTTTACGCATTCTGAAGTATGATGTTGAGAAAGCTGAAATACAGTTAAGTCACGCTATTCGATCCCTGTTAGAATTAGAAAAAATTGTATAAACTGAATAGTCGGAATAATCCAAAGGAAGCAGAAGGAAATGGTAATATAAGGTATACGTAGGTATCGATAGAAAAACCTATTAATATATTCATTTATCATATACCTAATAAATAACAATAAAGAGATAAATAAAAAACACAAAAAATAATCCTGTAAGTATCTACATACTACAAGGATTATTGAATATTATGTGGTAGTATGAATGCTACCCAGAACAACTTGATTAAAATATATATATATATATATATATATATATATATATATATATAAATATATTTTATGCAAGTGGGATTACAATATTTAAGGTTTTATCCTTGACTGACGAAGCTCTGATTTTTGACGAGGCGGGCAACAGGAAAAAAGAAACGAGGAAGTTATGTTTACATCCAATTGGCGTGAATATAGCACGGTTGCATGGTCCGAAAAACTATTTGAAGATAACAAAATGCCAAATGGAAAAGAAAAGAAAAGAAGTAGGAGAAGGCTGGCATTTATCAGTGTAGTTTGGCAGTCTTAAACTATCTACAATATTTTCTATCTACAATTTTATGAATAAAAAAATTATAATTTAGATCACTCACCTTTAGGGGAAGAGATTATTTAAAAGAATGTGCCTTTATTGCAGCTAGCAAAACTCTAAAACACAAACCGCTGAAGTGAATCCCCGCATTTTTTATGAATGCATTAAACTGATGATTCTACTTACTACAGGCTGTCCCATAAACAAACTTCAATGCTTCACGTGTTATCCTACATGAAATGAAAGTCTCTATTGTCCAAATTCTGATTGTTTACTGTATTCGAGATGTGTGGTGATTAGTGACCGTTAGTCGATGATTATTCGGAAATCGTGAGATGCGGTCTGGTGTAACGTACGTTTCAGAAAAACATTTTCTTTATTGTGCCAACGTTTCGATCTTTATTGAGATCATCTTCAGGGCCTGGATTTACAAACATTGTTTACATTTAAGAAATACGTAGTAAAAAATTTTTTTTTTATATTCAATCAAAGTATTCGAGATGTTTGACGTTTCGCGTCAACCTTTCACGACTTTCTCATAAAATGTTAGTTCTACTGTAAATTTGATAGCATCAACGAAAAGAACATTAAAGCTCATTAAAACATGACATTTTTTCTTGTTCTAAACGTTCTTGTCTAAAGTTTAAGTAAGATTTTCTTGGTGCTGTAACACTGACTGATGGTCCTTACAGACTTAAGTACTTATCAACTTTAAACACGTATACATAATTTTTAAAGTAAACTATTGCAAGGGTAACATTACCGTTTAATTGATAAAAAAATCAACTTTTCTGTTACAAATGGTTTAAAAGAATTAGTCATTAGGATTTCGAAACTTCATTGAAAAATATATAAAATAATCAAGCCGATCAGTAATGACAAATAAGTGGTGTTTAGTGACAGTTACTTGATGATTATTTGGTAGTCGTGAGATGTGGTCTGGTGTGACGTAGGTTTTAGAAAAACGTTTTCTTTATCGTGCCAACAATTTTACAAATACATGTAGGATGTGACTAAAAAAATTGTACAATGTTAAAAATTTTTTCATTTTTTTACATCCTACATGTATTTGTAAAATTTTAACAATGTTTATAAATCCCAGGCTCTGAAGATGATCTCAATAAAGATCGAAACGTTGGCACGATAAAGAAAATATTTTTCTAAAACCTACGTCACACCAGACCGCATCTAACGACCTCCAAATAATCAAAATGACAAATAAGTTAATTTAAGTTATTTCGTTTGCTGAACGATAAAAAAAAAAAACAATAAAAACAAATCTAATAACGTTTTCAATGCTCATTTCATTGATATAATGAAATGTACAGTTGGGTTGATATTTTATGAGTTGCGGGGGGCATTTTAAAAAAAAGTTTGGAAAGGTAGAAGTAACTCGAAAAGTGAAATACTCGAGTACAATTGAAAATCAGGCTTTAAACATTAAAGACTTTTAGTACTATTTCATAAAGGAAAAATTCCTGAAGATTGAAGTCGACGGGACACCCTGTATATGTATAAAGGTACATATGTATGTGCAAGATATATAAATCGATAGTTGTAAAAACGTCTAGACAGATAAATTGATGAACATAGATCTTGAAAGTTGTAGAGACAAAAATTTAACTATTTTATATAATTATGCAGTTATATAATAAATAGTTGTGTGCTCTGCAGATGAAGTGTGATGAAAAGATTATTGGTAGTTAGTCATTGAAGTTAATAAACCTACATAATTGGATTAAAAAATGCACAGAAAGATAAGTAGATAGTCAGGTATACAGTTGGTCAAACAGACATTTGTATGTAATGGTCGTCCAATTTTAAATGTACTAGTAAAATTGTCAACCTTTGTGTCAAAACGCCGGAAAGCAAATATTTAAAAAAATCCATTGATATTTTATTAACGCACACATTGAAATAAAAAAGGCAAATAGTTGCAAAAAATGAAATAATGTAAAATTAGTGATGATCTTAGGCAAATATCTCTTCTTCAGTGTAAGAGAGGTGTGTCCATGCAAAGAAATTGTAATAAAATTTTCCAATCCAATAATGCTTTCATATTACACCAAGCTTCATATTACCTCAATATAGCCTAACGTTAACCAAGAAGGTTTTGAGCTGATAGAACCCATCGGTGAACAAGTTGAACCATTCATTGACTTACTATTTGAAATTCCTTGCGAGTAACGAAAATTTTCAATAAGAAATACTAACAAGCAATAAATTGTACGCGTACTGTTTGCTTTGAAGTGATTTTTTCCAGCCTGCCTTACACGTCACACGGCGTAAAAATTCTGGAATAGTCTAAAGTATTCTATTTTTTGTCTGTTTGAAGGTTACAGATATTTGCCCAAATTCGGCCACCCGTACGGCTATTATGGAGGAGATTACGGCTACAAATACTAGTATTATTGTTGAAAAATAAATCAGGATGTTTTCTGTCTACTTGTGTTTTTTATTATTACGACCCATTCAAGAAAACGGAAGATAACATTCCCACAATTATTTACGGAAGCGGTGACAAACCTAGAGGTCAGAGTCGCATTGATAAAAGAGAGAAATATAGAGGAAAGAAGAGACATACTGGTCAAAAATATGAGTATTAAAAGAGTAATTTTTTAATCAATAATTCACTAATTTTAATCATAACGCCACCAGCAAATCATGATGATCGGAAACGATTGATCCACTGGTTAAAAAACATCGAAGACCTCAACGAAATTTCTACAATTGCAAGACTGATAGAATATTCACTCAAGCGAATATCGATGTACGCAAAAAACAATTATTTATTCAGACTAAAAGAATTCTCAATTTTTTCAAAATTCTAAGCGCAAGCATGACTACTTGCAAAAAGTTATTTTGAGTTAATTACTTTTCTTAGTGGTTGGTAGTATCTATTTATGGATAATTTAGTCCATAAAAAAACAATTATGTTTATGTCGTGGTTGGTTCCATATTTGTTAATTTCAAGAATCAAGAGATTGATTTTTTATATTTTTAATTTTATTTCCCTAACTTTATCTCTTTCCTTCCCGGCAGATTCCTCAACTAATAATCAACAAATATAATTTTTATTTTTCATTTAAGCCAAATTGATTTTAATTTTAACGATCTTAATAAAAAAAACTTCCGGAAACATTTCTGTAATTATACTTGGATCGTCTTAAACAAAATAAAAAATAAATAGCAGGTCAAGATGATCAAAGACGATGAAAACGCAAGTTTTCAACCTTGCAGCCCTCAAGAAAATGTCTAAAGTTTGTGTGATTGTTAGATTGATAATACGCAACCAATTATCGGCATATTCTGATCAATTGAAATTGCAATGTTTTCACAAATGATAATTTAATAATAAACCTTTTTTTCTTTTTTTTTGCTATGTACAGTTTAACACGCTTTTTAAAATCCTAAGGTTATCCATGGCTTTGTAATTAGATTTTAAAAACAAAAACAAGTCTGTTTGCGATCCTTCACCGGTTTTGAGCAACCGACTATGGCAAAAGTACGGCCACATGAAGCGCACGTTTCATTTAACTTCGTGAGAACTTCATTAGAGTATTCGATACATTAACAGTTCTTCCTACTCTTTTGAATATATGTATGTGAAACTATCTGAGGCCGAACAATTGTTGAAAAACAAACCACACGTTGCGTAAATTGGAGAAGACCTAAGGTCGTTTTCGTCATGGCCATTGATGGCATGAGTAGAGGTGGTCAGCTATATAACCAGTACGGTCGACTTGTTTCCGTCAGTCACGTGTTTAACATGGGTTTTAAGGAGTTTATTTTTGTGAGTATCGTGCTATCATTCTGAAGGTTGATCGACTTCATATTTTTCACGATGGGCTTTTGTTTGGAAGGTGTTCGCATTAATCGCCGTCTCTACGGCGGAAAAGGGTCCAAAGGAATCGGCGGATCTGAAAGCCGATACCTCCTATGGCCTAGGTTACGCCAGTTACTACAATGACTACGACGACTTTGACGGATACTACGGAGGATACGGTAAGTACGGCGGACTTGGTTACGGCGGCTACGGTGGCTACGGTGGCTACGGAGGATACGGCGGTTACGGCGGATATGGCGGATATGGTGGGTATGGCGGATATGGTGGACATGGAGGTTATGGTGGTTACGGAGGATACAGAAACGGTTACCGGAGGTACCACAGTTACTATCCGAGATATGGAAGCAACTACTACTACGGTAAATATATATTTTTAAAAATATTTAATAAAATGATATAATGATTCAGAAATCGTGAGATGCGGTCTGGTGTGATGCAGGTTTCAGAAAAACATTGAATTGAATATAAAAAATATATTTTTTGCATTGTGTAAATTCTCTTTTTCCCACATCCTACATGTATTTGTTAAATTTTAACAATGTTTGTAAATCCCAGGCCCTGAAGATGATCCCAATAAAGATCGAAACGTTGGCACGATAAAGAAAATGTTTTTTTGAAACCTACATCACACCACACCGCATCTCACGATTTCTGAATAATCAACGACTAAATATTTATATAAGTAGTTATTTAAAATAAAAATATTTTTTTATTTAATAATAATATATTTTTATTATTTGTAACATACATAAGTTTCATATGATTCATCCAGTGAATAAATAATTTACATAGTGCATATTTAATCATATAAAAAATTTAACGTTAACTTTATCATGAGAATCATTTGATACTGAACAGATTTTCAAAAAATTTTCCCATCTTATGTTATAAAGAAAAAAATATTCGTTTGCTTAGTTGAAATAAATGCACGTACAACTTTAATAATGCAAGGAATAACCTTTATAGCACTTAAAGATCACTCTTTGGGAGGTGCATTAGTTTTAGACATTGTAAATACGGCTTTGTTAAAATTGTAAAGTGATTAAATTTCGTACTTATAATGTAAAATATGTTATTCTGTGTCCTGAACATTTTTGTCTTGTGTATAAAAAGAAGTATACGTATGTATTATTTATTTATTGATCATGTAGTGATAAATTCTTGACAATCGAGGGTAATCCTTATGAAAAAAATTACTTTACGTTTGTAACTTAATCTAAATTTTCATTTATGATTATTCCGTACATTAATTGAAGCCGTTTTTTTTCTGATTGGTTTATAATTTAGATTATGACGATTACCCGAGTTACAGCGGCTACGGCGGATATGGCAGGAGCTACTACCGTAGGAATCCTTATTCGAGCAGTTATTACGGAGGACATTATTTATAATAAATAATTAAAAAAGGTTTTTCCTTGAAATTTAACCTGCCGTTATTGAAACTTTATGTATTATTTGTTGGCAATACATTCAGAGGTGCCAACGTTCAATAAAGTTACCAAGATGTTTTTTTAAATATATAGAATATAAAATATTTTTTGTTGTAAATACAGTGTTTAAAACCGATCTCATTTCTTTAACCCCTTTCCCGAATCTAAACATACCTTAAAGTCCAGGAAAATGTGTAAAATATAACTGAATCGTGGATATCTTATGACGATTTGGCGAAATCAAAATGGGTAAGAACAAAAGCAAGAAAAATGAAGATAAAACGTCGGTCGAAAATAATAACAAATCTGTAAATTAAAATGTGAGGAATGCCAGTGATGTTTGCACATCAGTATGGTGAATTCTCTCGTGGGCTTATTTGCTAACTACAGAGCGACGTCTAGGAATTTCAAGCCTGACATTTTTCCTTTTTTTTTAAAACTGTAAATTCCTTAATAATAACGTAAACATCAAAATTACCCACTCTATCTCCAAAAAGATGAAAAATTTAAAAAATATAAATTGAATTTCATAGTATTAATTTTTAAGTTTTGTAATCCTTTTAGTTACAAGTACAATTGTAATAACAGTTCATCCACGGTCAGTCTTCAAATGATTAACAGACTGATGAATAGATATATGCTTAGATAAAAACAAAAATAAATAAATCGATAGCTTATGATTTTTCCTTCTTGAAGGTGGGATAATAGGTCATCTCAAAAAAACCACAACCACTTTTTATCCACAACGTTTCCGATTTATTTTAATCCTTCCTCAGGTGAGTTAACGCAATGGTTAAAACAGTGGTCGTCTATCATTAATATTTTATAAAAGTTTATTTTAAAACAGAGCCAGTGTGGTACATATTTAAGTCTTTCAGACTCAAATAAATCCGAAACGTTGTGGATAAAAACTGGTTGTGGTTTTTTTGAGATGACCTATTATCCCACCTTCAAGAAGGAAAAATCATGTCAAACTGTTGAGGTCGAAATATAAGAAAAAATCGATAGCTTTACTCTTTCCTGTAACATATGTCCGGCTAAACCCCACTTTAGCTTCTTTGCCACCTTGATGACATCCTCACATTTAGTTTTCTCTCTTATAACCAAGCTTTATAATTTTTTCAATTTGCTGATTCCTTGCATGCTTCGTTCGATTGCTCTTCCTGCAGTAGTAACACCATCCTTGTGTGTCCTGGCCCAGCCAATGAGCCTATCATCCAACTTTTCCAAGCTATATATTTGACAACCGGGTAACAACTTTAACCAGTTATATATATTTTTTCAATTGAGCCAGTTGGTTGCAAACCAACTTAACAAATTAAAAAGTTAAAAAAACGAGGGAAATTAGATGTGAAAATTTGACTTTTATAAAATGTGAGAAGTGCTACAATATCGTTAAACATAAAATAGTGCACAAAGCACTAAACATATAATAAAATCAATAATAATATAAAAAATATAAAACAGTGGAACGTGACATGATATATTCATCTTTCTAGGAGGTCCGAAGTCGTCGAATACATTGTACTATTTGCAGCGAATTCTTTAATCCGTTTTCTATGCATAAAAATAACGATCGGATCGGAGTCACGATAGGTCAAATGGTAGAGCAGCGGCGTATTTAGTCGAAGATCGTGGGTTCGAATCCCGCTCGTGACGCTGACTTTTTATCTCCACCAAACCTTTCATAAATATTAATTAATTGAAAGATGTTATTAGGTCAATCAGACCAGGAAATAGAATGGATATAATAAGCAAAACGAAGTATAACTTAATTAAAGCTCTTCGTGGCCATTTCATTTGTCGCCGAGAATCGAATCCCGATTATACGACATTTGAAAAATGGCAAAAAGGAGGGAAAATTCTCTCTCGTCAAACATACCATGAAATATAATGGATTTGAAAAAGAAACCACAAAAAACGATAGTTTGTACAATCATGTTATCTTTCTTTATTTGTATTCATTTTTGCATTTTCTCCATTTTTTCTTTGATTGCTGCAGCTACCAAACAAATTATAAAATTTGTCGGAAGGAAATATACAAATTATGTATCAGTATTTATTAAATAAAACTGACATTGGCTTGTTTATGGAAATATATATTGTTATTCTGCCAGATTATCAAGACATGCAAGGACCTTTAAGCAATGGACTTTAATGTCTCGGTTTCTTTGTAATTTAAATAAAACCTTGGGAGAAACACTTATTAGATAATATTATGACAAGAATAGGAGAAAAATCTGCATAAAGTACTTTTAAAAGGAGTGTTCACTCGTTGGAGGCTTCGCGATGTTCATTATACATAATAATGAAGAAAATAATATTTTCTTATTTGTTACAATTTTTCAACAGATAATATATATATATATATTTTTAATAATGATATTTTACAAACAAATAGAGGGTCAAACTTTAGTAATTTTCATACTGTTGACACGTCTAGCTTCAAAGTGTTAATATGCTATTTTGAACCTGAATTTTCACAAGCAGAATAAACATTTCTAGTCATAAATTAACGATTTGCTCAGCTTTTGTTTGCTAAATTAAATATTCAAATATTGAATCTTTAAGTCTAATGCTAATTACCGAAACCAACTTTATTTCATATTTTTTCATTTCATTCATCGTGAAAATACTTCTTAATTAGCCTTTAAAACTACACCACTTTACACCTGGGTTCTACAAATTAGAAACATTAAGTTTAAAAAAATATCAAATAACATAATTATAGTTTGTGGGACAATTCAAATCAGGATAGATTTAGGATGCATTCATATTGAAAAACCTGGGTTCGCCAACAAGTGGCATTGATAACTTGTCAAAATGGTTTGCCTTTAAAAATCCATTATAAAATGAATTTTTGGATAATGTTTTTCTTCTCGGGGTCAATTATATTCTCTCTTTTGTAAGAGTCTGTGTCTCTAGCACATCAGGGATTACGCTTTGGTTAGTTCCATAAAACGCTTAACAGACAAATTTGTGTCTAAGGTTTTTCCACTTTTTTAAAGTGACATTTAAATAGGCAATGGCTAGTATAAAAGCCTATTATTTTCCTTAATATTCTAGGGGAAGAATTTTGATTCCTCTTTATTTATGACGAGGTTAAATTAGACTTATTTATTTATTTTGAACATAGAAAATTAATCCATTGTAGTTATTTTTTCTCCATCTATTTGTTCTGTTGCTTTTTTTGTGTGGCGAATTGCGTTCTTGTCTAAAGGGAGAGAGGGATGCTCCCGATTTGGATTGTTCATCATTCTATTTGTTGTCTTCAGCCTCCTCAAATCCTCCCACCCGCATTAGAGTTAATTGATTTTGATTTCTTATGAGTTGGGGATATGTATAGACATTCTCAGATTAGCTTTGGGTTGAAGATGGAAGATTCAAAAGAATCCTGCCAGTTGGATGGCTGAGAGTTTGAACCATGTAGTTTAATAATTATTAGAATTTATAATCTGTCATTAAAATAACTCTGATCCCAGTGATATCATAATCTTACCAACTTTTCTGTCTGTCTGGAAAGCTGAGTTTACTGGCTTATTGAAATAATGTTAAATAAATAAAAGGTTTTAATTATATAAACCGACTTGTCTTTATAATAAGCGAAAACTTAAACTTAAATCGTGTACCCCTTTTTATGCATATCTGTAAATTAATAGCACATAAATTATCGAATAAAACTCAAAGAATAACAAATAATAATTAATACAGGAGGAGAACAAACCTTATAACGATGGATTAAAGTAAAAACAAGTATCAGTCGGTTTTGTTAATTTTTAAATATAATTAAATTGTATTGACATATTGATACAATTGACAGGTAGTCCGTACTTTTAGTAAGGGGTAACAAATTTTGATATAATTCTTTCGAACATTTCAAAAATATCGACATATGTCCCCCCCATTTTTTTTTCCTTTTTTTAAATTTTTTATTTTTTTGGGGCTTCCGACATCTAAGTCATTTCAGCCCCCAACTAAGTCTATATTCTATTTACACTTTCGAACATTACATTCATACAAATAAATTCATTCATACACATAAATACATCCGTACAGTACACTCATTCCGTTTGGTCGGTGGAGTACTTGATATTTCTCCACCAACCTATACTCAAACTAATCTTGATTGGGGTCGATAGAGTACTTTTATAAATATTCCGCCAACGACGCTCTCAACGTTCGAGGGGCGATGATGACTTTTTTGCACCCTCAACCTTCGCCATTCACGCTAATAAATACATGCACTCAGACAAAACATATAACACAATACATAAGTCATGTTATATACAATAAAAAAAACCGATTTACCCTAAAAAGCGGAACAGGGGACTCTGAAACTTGCTGCAGTGCTCGAGTACCATCCTCAGATTGGATGGCATGCCTACACGCTCCCTGTACGGAGCCAAGGCATGGCATGTTTCTAGTATGGGACACATCGAGCAACCTTTCTCTGCCTAAGGGGCACCTGCGCGGGCTTTGTCCCAAGAGCAGGTGCCCGTGTGTCAACCGCGTATGGCCTATTCATAATCGCTTTTTTCCACTAATATAATATATTTTATATACATGATTAAATGCAAGTAAAAGAAATATGTACAAGCCACTGGATCTCTAAGGAATTTCTCAATTCTTTGACTCTTCTTGTACTTAACGTTTAAATGGAATGTATACAATTTATAAAATCATGTAATGTATTTTTAAATGTAACTTATAGGATTGTGTAAAAAATAAGGTTCAAAACGTAGATGAATACCTACAGAAAGGATGAAAATTTAAATTAATTCATACATACTTTAGAAAAGGTGAAATAGAAACGATTGTACATGTAAAATTACAAAATATTGCTCTTGCAGATAATCTTGATAGGGTTTCAACAAAAGTGGACAAATGACAAGGAAAAATGACCAAACCTTGTTGTTTTTGTTTAAACAAAAACCTATGAATAAATCTCAAACCACAATCAATTGAGGAATACGGTCACATTACAAAATTGAATATATTTTATTATTAAAAACTTTTATTTATAAAAATATTTCGAAATAAATTAGGTCTAACATTTGTAATTGCTTTAATCCTAATGTTTCAATATTAAAATATTATATTTATAAAATATTCATTTCTTCTAGAAGCCCCTTGGGGTTAAAAAATTAATTAAGTAATTTTGAACTTTTATTTAAACTTATTATATAATTGTTTGACTATGATGAGTTTTAACAGCATTTTTTCATTTTGTAATTAATCCATTGTTCCAAATGGAAATTCAAATAGATTAATTTAACCCGATAAGAATAAATTATATTCAAATCTTTTGGGAAAGGAAATTTTTATTTTTAATTGTTGCCGTGTTAGGACACAATGACCCCCCCAAGGGAGATGGCGTTAAGGTGATAAGCTCTTGTAAAAGTAAGCTTTGCAACAAGGGGACAAAAACTTCTTTCATGAAAGATAGTTATCATTCAAGGTAATTTGTCACAGAAATAAACAACATTTTGCTTAAAAAAAGATTTATTGTATGTTTAATTACAAAAGCTATTGTAAAATAAACTGTAAGTTAACCGTAGTAGTGTCCGTATGGGTAACCATAGTAACCGTAGTAGTATTTAGGATATCCATGATATCCATAATACCCATAACCTAGAAATTATTAAGTATTATTAGTTTTTAGAAATAGTAGGTATTTGTGATCTTTTTTTTGGAATTAGGATGGGTTTTAAGAGGTTAAAATACCATTTCCGTATCCATATCCGTAGTTGTAGTAGCTGGGGTATAAGTATTTACTGTAGCCGTAACCGTATAATCCACGACCGTAGGCGTAACCCAAGCCGAAAGTGTTGTCGGTCTTCAAATCTTCTGGCGTCTCCTGGACGGCAAATGCGACGGCCAGGAGGCACAATACAACCTAAACGAGAAACACATCGTAAAACAGGATTTTCCTGTAAACAATCATGATATTGCAACTCACAATGGTTTTGCAGTACATGTTGTTTTCAGACTGATGCCTTCTGACCAAACAAGCCAGGTTTTATAGTGGGGCCCCAGGTATGGCTGGCCATGACCAGATCCACACCTACGGCTACAGGATTTCTGCCAATTATTTGTCTAATATTTCTCCCCCCTTCACAATAAGACATTGATATTTCCGTGACTCGTATCGGGACTTCTGTCGGAGGTAATGCTGCTCGTTAGAAACGCCATAACTGTCAAAAGGCCAATTAGAGACACGATAGATCCTAATTAACCCGATTCGGGAGATTTTTTTCAATAAGTTGCCTCTTTTCATTTTTCTCACAGACGTCCCCTAGGACGTGTCACCAGAAAGGCTGCGGAATAACAAATGAGGAAAATTTTCGTACTCAAACTAAATCTGACTTTTGAAGAATTCACCTATAGGAATTAACTTTGATTTATATTATTATTTTAATTTTTTTCAGTTTTCTACTATTTGGTCGAACGGTAAGTAAACAAATAATTCACTTCAGTACATAATAAAAAACCTCAACGTTGAACTCAAACTAAGTAAATTACCAAGATTAATCGTAAATTTACATTTGCAAGTTATTTATAGCTTTCGGAAAGAAAATAAAGCATCATCAATATATCCGATGTATTTTGAACATTAAACATTTTTAAGTAGTACTTGTAGGAGTGAGAAAACGTAAGAGATGGTAATAAGGGTACAGAAAAGTAGATAAATAAATGCTGATTAGCATAAAGTGAGGGAGAGAGGAGAAACGGAGATGATTTTTGTGTATGTAAGTATCAAAGTATTAAAACGTAAAAGTATGAAAAGAGAATCCTTGTAAAGTTGAGGATACTTTTCATTTTATTACGTCTCAAGATTTACGTAGCTTTCGGCAGGATTGGTTTGGTAAAATGACTATTGAAAAAGAGGAGTTTCTGAAATATATTTGGGAAACTATATAAAAATTGGAAAACGTACCAGTATACATGCATGAAATCATTAGTCAGGTGAATCATTAGTGAGGTTATTAGTCAGAGAATTTAATTATTGATATATATTCATAATATAGTGAAGTTGTTGTAATTAATTATATGTAAATAGATTAATAATGAATTATCTGTTAATTTGTTTTGCGATTATTTGTTTACTAGTAATTAGTTTATAGAATAAGAAAGTCGTATTTGACTTGAATTGTTATTTTCAACTGAATTTTTTATAGTTTAACTTATATTAGAAAAAGTTTAATTACTGATATATAAATATCATTTAGTGTGTCAAAAAATGAAATTTTTGTATTTATTACTTAATATTTGAACAATGAAGGGAAATTTGAAAAAAAAAAATATCATAGCTTAGCGTGACAAGTTATTATGACGAAATGTAAAACATGTAATGTTTTAAAAATAATAACTGTATTATTATAGATTATATTATATTATTATTTAAAGAGGAAAGCTTATAAATGATGGAGGGAGATAAAAAGAGAGAGAGAGAGAGAGAGAGAGAGAGTGAGAGAGAGAGAGAGATGAGAAAGCGTAACAGTGATGTACTTGATACTTGATACTTTTATTTAAAAAATGCATAGCATAGGGCCTTCCTGCAAACACCTATACTTTTAAAGTACATTTTTCTCTTTTTACCTTTAACAGTTTAATCTGGTATGCTTATGTATTAACATTGTAAAAGAAAAAGAAGAATAGAAAAACATAAAATACCCTTTGTATTATACTGTACAAACAATAGTAATAAACTACTCATAGATAAAATTCAATAAATAATAATATTACTTTTAGCATTTAGAAACCTGGATATAACAAGTATAAAAATACATGATACATGTTTGTAATTCTCTGAATTCCATATCTAATTCATTACATTTTACTATTTCTTAGAACATAAACAATTATTAATTTAACGACTTTAACATTTAACAACAGAATACTTGTTAACAATTTTCTTTATCATTCAACATTTAAATTTTAATAAAATGTTTAAATAAATAAACAAATGAATAAAATAAAACATTATGTAGCATCTACTGTTGATTATTCCAGCAAAGGAATTCAAAATTATTACGGTAGCTCGTTTTAACAGTTTGAAATATATACATTGATACAGCAAAAAATAACCATTAAATGTAGTTCATGTTCATATTTATTATGCATTCATATTTTTTACATTCATTAATTACGAAATATAAGTAATTAGAGAGAATAGTTATATAGCCGCTGCAATGAATTTACAAAACATCTAACCTGTGTACACCTTTATAACTATAATTTTATTTTTCATATTGCTTTATGAAATTGAATGAATATTAAGTTTATTTGATGCCAAGGACTATTTTTAGAGTATGCGAGTACAAGCTAAGATTACGTCAGGCTTGTACTAGAAAAAATTTGTTATATACAGATGTACAACGTTTAGAAATATGTAGGAAGTTAATTCTTGCAGTACATTTGTGAACTGACTCTAAAAATGTAAATTTGGTGTTACATAGGTTAGGTATTTCAACTTTTTAGTTTATAATATTTTTAACGTAGCTGTAATTGTTTTAAGCGTAATTCGTTCCTAAATTTCAGCCAATTCAGTTTGACATAGTATTGTGTCAAATGCTCAAATAGCCTTAAAGTGAAGATGTAGCGAGTACATGCATTTAAATATTTTTGTAGCGTATTGATCTATTAATTCCGATACAAGGCAATACGCTCAAAAAACGGTATAATTCGAGATTGTACCATTTGTTTTTTAACATTAATGTTAGGTTTATTGCCAGTGTTCGTAACTGATGAAGCCTGCGACAAACACTTCGTCATACATTTGACGTTTTCCAATTAATCATTTCATCGATGGTCTTTGACTTCGCTCACGTACTGTTCTGGCTAATTGGTAGGCAAAAATTTTCATATGTTTATCCAGCGTAGAAAGGTATCTATGATGTTTTACTTACTTCTACAATGTTTTAGGAACATAGTAAATATTGGTTTTATTATGATGCAATTATGTAAGTCAATAACACTACTTTAAAAGTCATTTTGGCTAATGGAAGAGTAATTACTCTCTCGCTTCAGTACTAAGTTGCAATTTAGAAATTTTGGAAAGTTAATTCAACAACACCCTTGTTAAAATAGTAAAAAACAACAACTAGGAATAAATGTGTCGCCACCTGTAGAAAATAGACAAGTTGGAAAAAACGTCAAATATTCGCAAATGTTATAAACGAAAGTTAGTATTATTTCAAAGCTCCAAAACACATCCTTTTTTCTTTTTTTAAATTGAAAGCTAAAAATTGACCTTAAAGAAACAATTTTAATTTGAGAAATGTAATTTTTTTTATTTACATGTAACGCCTTGCTTATTTTAAAAAAATTATATTCTTCTTGTAAAAATTATTATTTTAACACTATCTTCCATATTTGCTCAATCAAAATGTTAATGAAAAAAACGTAACACCAGTTATCAAAACTATTTTTATGTTATTTTGTTTCTTTTCTTATGTCGGAAGTGAGGCAAGAACGAATTCTCTGAAAACTTGAATAATTTAATAAAATTTGTTTCTGTGCTCTTTATTTTGAAATATGAGGTCATATTTAAAAATCAGTTATTGCAGTATCATAAAAATATGTTTTTCGTCATTCCAAATTTATTTCCAAATATGAGATCATATTTAAAAAGCTTTACAGTAATATGACAACAATAAATAAAATTTCATGACTCTGATCACATTTAAATATTTAAAATTCTAACTCGCTTTCTCAAAGAAAATACTACTGAGCTCACAAATAAAAGATTTATTCAGTGGCAAAAGAGGCTACGTCTAAGAAAATGACTCTCTTTTTGAGAATTTCTACACAGAAATGGTGAACAATCTCACTATGACGGTTACCTATGAATAGAAAAAAAAGGTTTAGAAGCTCTGACAAAGGAATATTTTATAAAACTGTTCAGTCAGGGATCGTGATGAGCTGGTTCCACAACAGTTCCATTCTCAAAGTATTGGGTAATACAATTTGTAGATTACGAGCAAACTACACCTTCTGTAACAAATTATTGTACAAAAAAAAAAAAAACAAGTGAATTCCGAGAGCTGCACATATTGTTCGAAGTAAAGCTCTATGGAACATATTTGTATGACTTGTCCAAAATTTGTTAAGAAAATGAAAATTCTTTTTGAGAAAATAGCTGGGCCATTACAACAGCCCTTTAACTACAAAGTGATTCTAGCATCAAGTAATTTTGACGATTACTGATTGGTGGCGATGTTTCTAAAAATATAGATCATCAGGTCTGAAATACTGAAATGTTTACTTATTTACATATATCACATTTATTATTTCGTAGAACTAAAGGCTGAAGTCCGGAAAGCGGGCAGCTTTGCGCCGTGGGGGTGGTCTGGTCCGTGCGGGAGGCGGCATCGGTGGTGAGGGGACCTCTGGAATGCAATAATCTATTATCCAGGAACCTGGAATGATGTGGACATGGCATGCACATCTTTCGAGTGGTAACTACCCCAACAGTAAACGTGATCTGAATATGATAAATCAAAAGGGTGTGGATCTGAAGCGGTGAGGGGTGGTTGCCTCCATTGGTCACCGGGCCTCCTCTTGGGGCGTCCTCCGGAGTTGAGACATGGCTGTGGTTTGTGTCAAAAAGAAGAATGAGCAGGTGCAAAATGTTATTGCTTGATTAATTTATTTAAGCTCAATTCCGCATCCACATCTGCATGCATACATGCAGAATTAAACCAACGTAACACTTCTCGGTCAAGCCACAAGACCCACTTCGGGTTTTGGCAGTCTTTCCTCAGACCTCGGTGTTATACGTTCCATCGCCAAAGTAATGCTCCAGGCGCTGGCGACATCTAAATTATTTCGGTCCCCAACAAATGCAGTTTGTAAACCTAGACATATTCAAACTTTCATTCTTGCTTAAATACACTTTTTCTTATTTACATACCGGAGGATAATGTATTCCTTCATTACCCTTCATACCTACTATAATTATAACTAATAAGAGCTACTCAATATTCCACCATCGGCCTTCTCACACTACTCGTTCACTCTAATAAATACATTTACTGTCAATGTACAGAAAAGTAAACACAAAACGAGATATACCAAGTTCTATATTTAATAAAACATCTCTGTTTCCTCCAAAAATAAGAGATAGAAAAGCGGGCTTCTATTCCCAAAACAATTCTCATATCGGGTGACATTACTTTCCGCTCTCTATATACATCCAAGGAATGGCAACCTTTCTTACATGTCGGACACATACAGCAAAAGTGTGTCAACCTAGTGCGGCATATTCTTAGTCGGGTATGATCCCTCTTCTTCCATTCTGAACCTACAATGCCAATCTATCGCCCATGCTCTTGATGAGCGAATTTCATATTTTTAATTCGTAAATATATATTATTACTTCTTAACCTTAATAAAGTTTCTAAGTGCGGTAGACTTTTCGAAAGTACTACGAAAAAAGTGTTTTCTTTCAAAATGACCTTACCATGATTTTTAACATCAAATTATTTTACCCCAGAAATTGTCGGAATACGATTTCTTCTTTTCAAATATGACTTTAACCCCATAATATTTATGACAGTTATTGGTTGAGATAAAAAAGTCAGCGTCACGAGCGGGATTCGAACCCACAACCATCGGCTAAATACGCCGCTACTCTACCACTTGAACTATCGACTTTATCTCAACCAATACCTTTCATAAATATTAATTAATTGAAAAATGTTAATTCTTACCACGATCTAATTAATTGTTACCACGACCTGTAATGGATTTAATCCCATAATATTGCCATAACACAATATTTGTATTTAAAATCGGATTTTATTATAAAAACAATTCACATCTGTTTGACCTAAAACTGACTAAATTTTCCTATGTATACACAACTTTTGTTTATGTTGTTGAAGATGAAAACGTACATTATTGCCGTAATAAAATGGCGCAAAATATAATTTTACATCGATACGAAGAAAATAGTGTGAAGGGAATTTTTAACAAAAATAAATTCTATTGGTCTTAAATCTTATATGATTGACAGAAGAGAGATATTTAAATAAACATATGATTTTCTTATGGTAAATTTTTAGGTTAAAGGAACGCTGTCTAAATTTATTTAGATGGACGTGACGGGCAAAAAAATCCCTCTTCAGCAGCCCTCACAAAATACAATCATATTAAGCTAAAGTAACAGAGGAATTGCTAAGTAAATAAAATAACATTAATTATTAAAACACACCAATCAGCTATTTCAAGATGGTGGACAACGCTAAGTGGAATGAAATGATAGTATGAAAAATGAATCTATATATTTTGGCTAAAATATTAATCTTACATCTGAAGAAAATGTTTTCTGTTCAGCTGATAAAAATTGGTAAAAGTGCTGATGGAATGATGGTCTAATAGTCACATAATTTATACATTTACTGCAGGAATTAAATTATTGAACTATAATTTGTATGTACATATACAAACAGTATTCATTTTAATATGCCAAAAAGGAATATGAAATATGGTCTTACACAAGCAAAGAGGCTGTCAGTGTGCTGATTTTTACAAGCATAATAAGAAGTACGCCAACCTTTGTTTCATGTACAATAAAGTCAAGTAAACTCCAAAGTTTAATGAGAAAAACTTTCAACCTGCAGTTGTGTTAACAATGCCAGATCTGTTGGTCATCTTCTGGGAATGTATTAATTACGGAAAAACGCGTCTTTGTCGTGAGACAAAGCCAGTCGTGTTTGTTTTAGAGCGGTCAATGCCGGGGACCGGGTGGTGGCTCATCCATATAAAAACCCTGCGATGCCCACGTGCCTTTGTCAGTTGTATGGCACTCTCACCACTGGAATACAATGATCGCCAAAATCTTTGTGAGTACCGACAATGCAAAATATAAACAACTTTGTCATATCAGACAGTATTTTTTTCTGCATATACTGTTGAGATATTTTTATTACTTTACCTTGTTCGACATGATTTTTGATTTTTCCTATATTTCACTTTTTTACCAATCATAAATTACTTGTTTTTAACAGTCAAAAACTTAAAAAATAAAAGCTGTTAGTACTAAATGCCCAACTATAGATACTGTTTTTTAATGAAAATAATTGTTCCTAGAGAGAAATACAAGATTTAGTTTTAAGCAATTTGGAAAGCATTTTTCTAGTTTTGGATCTGATAAATAAAATAATCCAAAAATGCATTTAGGAACAAGATCTCTTATAGAATTCTTTAAATTGTAATAAACTTTACAGTCGACAAATTTTGCTCATTTTTGACAATTCTGTTTATCATGTAAAATTTGGCAACAGATCATGGCCTCAAACGTTTAAGAATGTAAGATTTTGTAAAGTATTAAAGTTAAAACTCTTTTAGTAATCTGTAAAAATACTCTTCTCAAACACCCTGTCTATGTGTAATTACAATTTGAAAAACTTAATTTAAAAATTGGTTGTTCTTGCTGACAACTATCTGTATACAAATGATATAAAAAAGTATAAGGGCTCAAAGTAAGAGCTTATTTTTCAAACTACGTCATTTAAATATTTTGCTCTTTATATATATCTATAAAGAGCAAAATATTTAAAAGAGATAGTTTGAAAAATAAGCTCCTACTTTGAGCCCTTATACTTTTTTATACTATAGATTATAACTCTTTATACTCTAAATATTAATACATAAATACAAAATACTAAATGTTAATACACGCACGCAAGCACGCACGCACGCAAGCACACACACACACCCACCCACACACACACACACACACACACACACANATGTATATATATATATATATATATATATATATTGATTATATATGTAATCAAATGGTACAAATTGAAGAAAATATTGAAGTACTTGGAAATATCAGATTTGTTAAGTTTTAGTTAACAGATATTTTGTCACAAATGTTACAGTACAAGAGAACATGGTTATAACTAAATTTCAATATTTTAATTTGTTTTGGCTTAAATTAAAACGCGCTCACTGATCGACTGAACTGAAATTGTACAAATTGTCATCTTTAGAATAACATTTTTTTTATAATTCAAGGACGTCATTAAATATTACATAATTATTTCTTTCTGTTTTGTTTAAGGTTTCATTATGTCTTTGTGCCTTGGTCTTCGCTTCGCCAGAGCCTGAGAAAGACCTCAAAACCGAGAATACTTTCGGTTTCGGATATTCTTTAGGGTTCGGCAAACACTTCTATGCCAGTTACTATCCTTCCTACTACGGTTACGGTGGATATCCGTACGGAAGCTACGGATTCGGTAAGCCGACAAATATTGTTAATTTTTTGTGATATTGACAATTATTTAATTTCAGGATATTACGGCTACCCTTACTACAATTACTACCCTTATTCTTACTATGGCTTCTATTGATCACTATTTGCAAGGGAGATAAATTGTAAATTGATGTATAAATAATAAATTTTTAATACTTAGTGGTGTGATTTTTTTCATTCCCACAGTTGAAACTGTTAAAATTTTGTATAACTAATTTGAACATTCAACTAACAATGACAACCTGAATATTACTTAATATTACTCTTATGCTATCAACAAAAAATGACAAATTAACCAACGGATACCAGTATGTAATACTTAATAATTAAAATTATATTTATACTCATTTTGTAGAGGTAATTAAGGTAATTAACTTTAGATAGTAAAGTATTCGTCAACAACTATTATTTTAGAATCATATATATTATATATATGTAATGAACAACAAGGAAAAATGAGATAGATAGATAGATATATAGATAGAGAGAGAGAGAGAGAGCGAGAGAGTGAGAGAGAGAGAGAGAGAGAGAGAGCGAGCGAGAGAGTGAGAGAGAGAGAGAGAGAGAGAGAAAGAGAGAATAAGTGAGAAAAAAGAACTAAAAATAGGAAGAAAGACAGGAAAGACAGTGAGAGAGTAAAGGTGAGAGCGAAAGAGAGAGAGTTTAAAAAAATTGTTTTTAATGCTCGTATTTTTTTTAATACTTTATGTATACTGGTATACTGCAAGATTTTCATTTATGCAGAAATTTAGAACAGACACAATTTCGTGATGATGGATAGAAAATCTTCGTTATAATACAATAATATACGTTGCCTATTGTATTGTAGCGGATAGAGAGAGAAAGAAAGAGAGAGAGAGAGAGATAGAGAGAATAAGTGAGAAAAAAGTACTAAAAATAGGAAGAACGACAGTGAGAGAGAAAAGGTGAGAGCGCAAGAGAGAGAGTTTAGAAAAATTGCTTTTAATGCTCGTATTTTTTTAATACTTTATGTATACTGGTATAATGCAAGACTTTCAATTATGCAGAAATTAAGAACAGACACAATTTCGTGGTGATGGATAGAAAATCTTCGTTATAATACTATAATTACGTTGCATATTGTATTGTAGCGAATAGAGAGAGAAAGAAAGAGAGAGAGAGAGAGAGAGAGAGAGAGAGTGAGTGAGAGAGAGTGAGAGAGAGAGAGAGGGAAAGAGAGGGAGAGAAGACTAGAAATAAACATAAATCTTGTTACTATGTGAAAATAATTACATCAAGTAATAATATAATTATAGCAAGTTTAATAATTTTGTGTAAATTTTGCAAGAGATTTTTTTTATTAAAAGATTTTGAACAACGGATTATTCATAATATAGGGATACATTAATATCAAACGTGTAATTTACTGTAGTGCAAGCATAATTAAAAATGTACGAAATAATTTTTTCCAATGCTTATTCAGTTTAAACATATGGTCATCTAGCATTTCTAATTTGTATCGGCCCACGTGTAAAGATTCCTTGTTAAAGCTAGGCTTCGATGATACTTATATTTTGAAAACTTATAAGTAGGTGTGTAATGTATCAAATTTTAAACAAGTAAAAAAAAAAAATTGTATAGTCTACATAGACTAACGAGAGTAACAGCAAATATCATGTACTCCAGTTAGGTGATTATGTGTGCTCACCTAAAAATGCATATGCTTTCAATAACCTTCTAAGTAGTAAACAATGTTTATGGTAATAAACTAAAAATATTATCTGAAATTTTATTTGAAAAGCTGAATGAATGTCGGTTTTTATTTCACATGGCCTAATTTATTCGGATTTATCAGTTTCTCCAGGTCTCGTAAATCCCGGACAAGAATCGCTGGAATGCTTTCTGATTTCTTCACGAACACTTCTCCGTTGATGACGCCAACGCCTTGGTAATTCATCTGCTTCGCCAATTTCCTCGCTTCGAGGAAGATGAGCTGTTTGTTGAGGGAAAGGCTCTCTCTGATGTATATGAGAGAATCCTCCTTTCTTCCGATATCCTTGGTGCTAAGGCCCCGCTTTTGCCTGTAACATTTCAAGAAACCTTCTTTGTCGAATCTCCGTACGAAAGTCAACGCGATGTTGTGAATGCCGTTTTTGTTCTGCCGGTTGATCCTGTAGCAAGTGTCGACCATCTCGTCCCTCAGCGGGTAGTCGATTGCCGAACCGATCTGCTTAGCGACGGTGAGCAAGTTTTCATTTTTTTTGTCCGGAACTCCACAAATCTCAACCGTGTTTCTTTTGGTGTTCTGTTCTGCTATGTCGAGCCGGTACCCCAAAGTTTCGACTTCCTTGGCCAGCCTTTCGTTTCTCAATAATAAAGAGTGAAGCGCTCCAGACGCGGTAGGAGGAGCGTCTACTTTGCTCACGGCTGAATCTCCTTCAATAATAGACTTGTAGACGTTTCTTTTCTGTTCCAGGTCTTTGCTGAAATGGTCGGTATGGCTGTCGCCCATTCCCTTCTCCTGTACCCTACTCCTTTTCCTGAAACCTTCCTTAAACAGTTCTTTCTGCTTCGTGCAGGCTCTGCATCGCCATGGGGCTCTTCTTTCTCTGTGCAGCTTCACCTCTTCGGCAGTCAACCTCGTACAGCCCGGGTGAGCAACGCGCTTGCAGTCGCAGCATGTGATGTACGGTTCTGTTTTGGCCATTCTTCTGTTACACTTCAAACACTCCATTCTTTTCAACCTACTATCTGCAAGATAATTTACGAAATAATTTCTCAGGGAATACGACCTCTAGTGAATTTTTGATGGTTTTTTTAAATATTATGCCAAACACATGATTGCCACTAAGTCTATTAACACAATAAAAAATTATGTTTTATTTAAATTTGAGTACATGGTCATGTGCTTACTGTATTGTAAGTTTATAGAACCCATATGCAAAAACATAATAAACAATTATCTACAATAAAATAGACGTTTTAATAGTAGTTATCTGCCTGGTGGTACATATATTTAAAAACATAAAATAACGATGTTTTTCATTGACAGTTTAGATTTCCAAGAAATTTTTTGCTCAGCCATAAATCTATTATATTATGTTATAAACATTTTGCATAACAAGTCACGTGTTTTACCTCTATATATAATTAAATTTACTAGTTTCGTGGTCCGCTTGACCAATTAATATCTTACAATTAATTAAGGTTTTCAGTTGAGATAAAAAAGTCAATGGCATGAGCGGGATTCGAACCCACGATCTTCGGCTTGATTCGCCGCTGCTCTACCACTTGAGCTATCGTGACCTCGATCCACTCGGATACCAACCTCCCATCTCAACCCACCTTTTGAATTTTCCCTCCTTTTTGCCATTTTTCAAATTTCGTGTAATCAATTTGATTCTCGGCGACAAATGAAATGGCCATGGAGAGCTTTAGTGAAGTGTACTTCATTTTAACCTTATAAAATTCACTAGTTTCGTGGTCCGCTTGATCAATTAATATCTTAGAATTAATTAAGATTTTCAGTTGAGATAAAAAACTCAATGGCACGAGCGGGGTTCGAACCCACGATCTTTGGCTTGATACCGCTGCTCTACCACTTGAGCTATCCTGATCTCGATCCACTCGGACACCAACCTCTCATCTCAACCCCACCTTTTGAATTTTCCTTCCTTTTTGCCATTTTTCAAATGTCGTGTAATCAATTTGATTCTCGGCGACAAATGAAATGGCCACGGAGAGCTTTATTGATGTGTACTTCATTTTAAACTTATTAAATTCACTAGTTTCGTGGTCCGCTTGACCAATTTATACATTACAATTAATTAAGGTTTTCAGTTGAGATAAAGAAGTCAATAAACATAAAACATCAATATCTCACTGGCACTCTCAACACGACACCCAATAATGACTCAGAAAAAAAAACCACTTTCAGTAAGTACAAATAACTTTAATGCTCTTTTCGTTGTTGCAATAGAATTTACAGTAGGATTAATATTTTATGAGAAGCGTAGACTGAAGTAATATAAAAAGTAAATATCTTGAGTACAATTGAGAATCAGACTATGGAAACTGCTTTTTAGTACTATTTAACATGTCGAACAGGGATTCCCAAACTTTTTAGCCAACAGGCCCCTTTTACAGAATCACTCTCATTTAAGTATTTGAAATTATGTACTTATAGTTTGTAGTAAAATAAAATTTTATAAATTAGCCAGTCCATTCCTATTAAGTGATGAATGAGGAGATCATTATGAAAACAAACATTAGATTGATATGCTTAACTTTATTTACAAAATCCGAAACATAAAAATCAAATTGGACAGAACGGAATCAATAGGTAGTTACACCTCGAGCCAAACTCAAAAGTAATAATTTGAACGTTAATTATTAATAAACTACTGACAAGAGTGAGGTTGTTTTAACCTGCAGAATTTGGATATGTTGGGTTCAATTTTTGATAAATAGAAGACGGATATCGGAGTCAGCATCTAGACAAAATCGATATTTAGTTTTGGTGCCTGTATAGATAGAAAAATCCGGATTCGCATAGTAATTTGTGGTAAATGGAAGAAAACGTCTTCTTTTTTCAACGAGCGGTTGAAATTTTTTGTTTTCTAGATGGAACCAAAAATTAGGGTATGAAACTCGAAATTAGATTTCAAGGTGGAATTTGAAATAATGTCTATCAATAATGGTATTTACTTGAGGATAGATTGATTGACTTTGAAAACGGTTCAACCGCCCATGCATGGTTTTGCAGCGTTATGTCTCGATCTGTTGGAAAGTTAGAGGACATCTCCAAACTACTAAGCTGTTCACATATTTCAACAATCGACGAGCCGTTCGCAAGATCCAGTTGATTTTCTTATAAAAAAATCGTCTAACACATGAAAACACTCCACCTCTTCCTTCCCAACAGATTCAACCCAAAACTGGATTTCCCTTTTGAAGGCCCGAACTTTGTTATCAGCATCGAATGTTTTGATACTCTTCCGTTGCAAAAAGAGACTCATCTGATTCATGTTCTTTTTTTTCTCTTTTTTTTAAACCATCCACCTCCCCGCCGTACCTAAGGGAGACCCCATACCGGCGGACCACGGCCACTAAACTAATTCAAATGGGAGATTTATTGAGCTTCACGGCTTCCTTCGACCTTGCCCTGAAAGGGAAGACCCAAGGAAGGAGGGAAATATTTTTCTTATTATTAATTTACCTAATCTAATAGGTCTCCCCTTTGCTGGTTAATCCTGTTGAATACACTTTCTAATAAAGATATATATACACTATTTTAATAAATAACTAACAATTATGGGTACAAGGAGTAACCAGCCCGGAATTAAAAGTTCAGGGAAACGCTAAGATCTAACAAGTAACTTAGTTATCATACGAAAAAAAAGAAAAAAGAAAGAAAGAAAAAACTAGTTAGGTACTTTATAGACTATAGCTCGGCTAACTCCTCTTTTCTTTAACCAGTTCGTTGAGGGTCGGTGGCCAAGTATGCCGGAAGAGGAGCTTTAGAGGTTCCCTCGCACTCTCAAGGAAAGGGCAGTTGAATACTCTATGTTGGACACTGTCATCAACTCCGCAGTCGGGACACAGTGGACTGTTGGCTCTACGGAATCGGTGCAGGTAAGCGTTGAAATTTCCGTGACCTGTCATTATTTGTGTGATCTAGAAATCGGGTTGAAACTACTTTGCTCTTGCTCGGTCCTCAATACTGGGTAGAAACTCCTGGGTTAACCTTCCCTTCTGTCCCATCTTTCTTGCTACGAGTTGTCTATCCAAACTGTAAGGATCTCCCGGATCTGCTTTCTAGGTGCAGTTCGTAGCCATTCCCTATCTGACGCATCCAAATTTACCATTTTTAGTGACCGGGAGTTTTGTGGCCCTGCAAAGGGCCAGCGTTGTGTAAAGTCGGCGTGCCGATGAATCGAGGCCGTGACCGTGTGCGTGGCGCCGTTGGTTGGTGGTCTGTGACCATGAGTCTACCGTTGGCTGAGGTCCAGAGGCCGTGAGTCGGCTGACTCCACAGAGGCCGAAGGTTTTGGGATGCAGCGATTAGCCGAGAGCAGCGTTTGGCGTTTATAGCCAAGTCGGCTGTTAGAAGGCGAAATCAGGCTGATGCAGCGAGTACTTGCAGGCGTCGACGGTGTTCCTTTGGTGAGATCTCGTCAGGTTGACGAGTCTCTTGTCGTTGTTGCCGATTTTGATTACATTAGTGATGGTTGAGATCTCGTCGGGCTGACAAGTCTGGTCCAGAGAGGCAGAGCCCTTGCTTATATAGGAAAGAGCTCTACTCCTATTGGCTGCAGAGTGAAGGGCGAGAACATTCCATAAGTCGTAGTGGCATCTAGCGGTAACTTTTGGTAGCTACAAGTGGCCACTACACCATTGTTGGCTCCTTTCCATCTTTTAGTTGCCGGATTGCAATTCTACTGTGGAGGACAGCGGTGCAGCGGAAGCAAGGACTTGGAGGGCGTGGGTAGGGGCTGTCCTATAAACTTTAGTCGTTCTCAGGAGCGCTATTCTTTGACTCTGCTCGAGGATGCTTCTTCTCCTGCTTTGAAATTTTGTTCCCCAAGCTGCTCCTCCGTACGTGGCAATGGGCAGATATACCCTTTTGTAAGTGATGGAGAGCGCCCTTGGACTCACACCCCATTTTGATTTCGCGATCGAGCTTAGTTTCGAGATCTCGTCATTTCTCTGATCTTGATGGCATGGTTTGTAGGACTTAGCCTTTCTCCCGAAACTATGCCTAGGTACTTTACCTTTTTGCTTAGCTTGATTCTTTTCCCTTCGATCTTATTCACGGGGCTTGTACTTAATTTGCCTTTTAGCATTAGCGATTGGCATTTGTCAGGAGCAATTTTTAATTTGGCCTCTTCGCACCATGTTTTGATCGCCGTCATCATTGCTTTTGATTTTTCTTCTAGCTCTTTCTTCGTATCGGCCTCTATGATGGTGGCAAGGTCACGAAAGCGACGAATTGAGCTCCCATTTCCTCCAGCTTTTCCAGGAGGCCGTTGAAGACAACGTTCCAAAAAAGTGGGCCTAGGACTGATCCTTGAGGGCACCCTTTTGTGACATTTTCTGTCGTAACTGTTTGCTTCGTTGCTATCTCAGCCCTTCTTTCGGTAAAATATCTCATGATCAATTTGAAAATGTTTTGAGGGATGCCCTTTCTTTTGAGCTCGTTTAACAAATTTGTCCATTCAATGGAGTCGAAGGCGCTTTGGATGTCGAAATCTCATTCATGTTCATGAAAATATCTGAATAAATACGACTGTTGCCAATTTTCATCATTGAAAACGTTGGCCAATTTGACATTGCCGGGCACTCTCAACACGACACGCAAGAATGGCACACTTACGCAGAAAACAAACACTTTGAGCCCTGAAGATGATCTCAATAAAGATCGAAACGTTCGCACGATAAAGAAAATGTTTTACTGAAACCTACATCACACCAGACCGCATCTCACGATTTCTGAATAATCATTGAAATTTACATAAATAGGTAGTGAACTGGCGGGAGAAATTAGAGCTTGAATGACATTTTCGAAAAACAGTGCTTTTTATATTCGATATTGTAAAACTCCAGGGTGTTCCAGAAGCAGTTTTCGGTATGAAGGACCAATATCAACCATGACAAGGAAACTGATCGACCGACTAGTATAGTCCCGTCCGGCTCACTTACCTCACCTATTTTGCTTAGTGTGCAAAACTAACTTCGAGAAACAGAAAATCAAAGATTTTTATTTTTATTTATATATTCTATAACAAATAAAAATAAAAACCTTTGATTTTCAGTACTCATTGTTATTAGTTATTTTAATTTTATTTATTCATTTGACGTTTATTTATGTAATGATTAATTTTCTCGAAGCTCGCCGCGTACCCCTTGTTAGGGTAGGCGGACAACAGTTTGGTAAGCCCTGATGTAGAATAACCTCATGAAGAAGTAACGTCTGGTATACATTAAAAACACTATAATCAAATGAATTAGTCAGAAATCGTAAGATGCGGTCTGGTGGCACTCTCAACACGACACGCAAGAATGGCACAATTACACAGAAGACAAACACTTTGAGCCCTGAAGATGATCTCAATAAAGATCGAAACGTTGGCACGATAAAGTAAATGTTTTTCTGAAACCTACATCACACCAGACCGCATCTCACGATTTCTGAATAATTATCGATTAACGGTCACTAATCACCACACACTATCATCAAAAATTAACTTGGTGGAAAAGTTCAAAATAAAGAAGATAATATTTATCCAATAAAAACATACGACACTATAAATTCATATTGAACAACAATAAATGTTCTACCATGTAGTTTTTAAATTTCAAGCCGAATATTTTTTGTGTGTGGTTGTTTCTTAAATTTTTAATAAAATAACAAACAGGGGGCGTCGGTGGCCGCAACAGTTTAGGCGTTGACACGGCGCTCATCACTGTAAGGTAAAAGTCCATTCGAACCCGACATACTTACAAATAAATGTTTTTTTTTGTTTTTTTCAGAAACACTAGCACTCTGAGGGTTTATATGACCTCTGCTGTTGCGAACCTTCGTAAAAAAAATATATTCTAAAATGGTAGACTTTTTATAGTTCATATAAATTTTCGATAGACGGAACAAATCAAAACTAACCGATCAATATTGAGACGTTTCTCCACGCAAATTCTTTTTCTTCGCTGTTAGGTTAAGCTTTACTTACCTTGTTTTTTCACATTTCCTCATTTGTAACTCGCTCGTAGAAGATCGGCGTTTCAGTCAGTTTTGAAGGTGTTTTGATCAGGAAGTGATGTAAAGCCAAGTTTCTAAGAGATCCGGATGACCTGCAGTGCGGAATGGAAATTGTCATATTTGGATTTCATGACATGGGAAATTGAAGTCATGGTTGTGGTTCGGAAACACAGAAGGAGCATTGGCTACATTGGTTTTGAGCTGAAAGAATCCAAGAAAAGTTCCTTGCTAAATTAAAAAAACAACAACGTGATTTTGGAGAAATATAAGGTGTTTCAGTAATTCATATCACATATCTATCATTTGCAATACGTTTAATTATAAAAAATAGTATCAAAAAGTATAACAAAATTTAACGCCATTTTCAATGTTCAGTTTTGTGCCTTTAGTGATGGTGGTCAGGGAGTAAGGGGTGCAATGGGAATTTCGGGTATGTGAGTAAGTACTCTAGAAAAAGAAAAAAATTGTGTTAATTTAGTCCTTTTTATGGAATAGAAAAAGATGGCTTACTGATGATATCTGGCTTGTAAAACTTCTTGTAGAAAGTCTTGTGTCCGTGAACGGGATGTTTTCCTAAATCAATGGTGTATTCAACAGAACCATCCGCCCATAGATCCGATGACTGATCTTGAAAGTTGGTCGGCGCGGCCATCACAATAGCCAAAACACACAATAAACAAACCTGGCGAGAAAGAAACAATTAATTAGTTTTGTGTTAAAGAAGATAAACAGCAAATGCACACTCACAGCGATTTTTACGTTCATTGTTTCTCTCAGAGATCGTAGCGAACTGTGGATGTCGATTGTCTACAAGGGGCCGGTTATATACGAAAAAGCTCGCATCAATGAGGTGGGGCTTTAGCGGATTTCCATCTTCCGAAATTTCAAAATTTACATAACATTAATCTATACAACTGATATTGGTGTTAGGAAGTGGGTGTTGCCCAAATGCCACCTTCAAGATTAAGACATTGCCGGCTTGAAACCGAACTAGCATAACTTTCACACACGGGAGAGCATTAATGTAATATTAAATTTTAATTAAATTAAGAAGTAGAACTTTTTGTTTAGTATTAGTATAATAGTAATATGCGTGCGTGTATATTATGTATTATTTGAGGGCCTACTGTCAAATGGTCATCGCCGGCCCTCTGTTTTTAAACAGAAAATTTTTTTCTCGCATTTTTCTCTCATATTTTGCCTTCTTTTTCTTAATTTTCTAACCTCCAGAACGCTCCAAAAAAACACGCGCGTCCGATACTGGATATTCCGATAACACCTACGCTGATATCCTTTCACGCTTATAAATTACTTTCACTCTCCAGACAACAAACTCTCACCCCATAGTACTCAATATCCCTATTCACGCTAATAATTAATATTCACACCAACATATAGATACCTACATTTCAAAACTATTACAGCACTGAGTTAAAACAGGATGCCGCAATGTCAGACATAGGTCAGCAGAAAACTGCGTACCTCATCCTGCAGGCTGCTAGGTTTCTGCAATGTAAAATATATGCTCAACGCTTTATCTTTCGGTACATTGTAGTCCAACGTGGTATCTTTCCCGCCAGCAAGTGCACGTAGTATGACCTATGTGAACCTAGTAACTATGGCTCTTTCCCGTCTCGACCCGGCCTCCGTAAACTAGGGGCCAATGCCGGTCTTTCTCTGCCGTAATTTGGCAGATGTCTGTGCCCAGGAATTTTTCCAATTTTCTTTTGCATTATTCTTCATTAATTTTACCACATCTGCTGGGCGGACAGGGTCCGTGCGGTGATACTGCCTTATTAGCCGCTTTTCCTTCATTCTCGCTATCTCTTGGCTATATGGTTTTGATCTACCATCGGTACTGATCTCTTTTAATTTTTCCTATCTTTTATTTACTAGTAGACGTACGGAGGTTTTTCTCCTGAGAGTGAGAACAAACAGATCAAATCCTTGAATATTATAAAGATTTTTCGATGTATAACGCTCCGAGCGAAGGATTTCACTTCGTAATTTTATAAACTGTAGTAAATTTTAAAGCTTAAAGGTTTTAAGTTGTTAACCAATATTAATCAAAACTTCTTTCTAAAGGCATTTGTAATTTTTTGAATTAACTTGAAACAGAATAATAGAAATATTACCAACTTCGAGTAAAGAACACTAGTTACTGTCATTAAAAGTTTTAATTAATTTTTAAATATTTCTGTTGACATGCTTCTAATGGCAATGAAATAAAACGGTACTTTCTTCCTGTATCATCAGGTTTTAAAAAGAGAGTTACTTCTCTCTTTAATAAGGTTTAGAAAAATAAAACTCATGAAATACAACCGTTGATTATTCATATATTTTTAATGTCTATTAAAAGTTTTCGAATTATTTTAGAATTTATTAGAAATTTTTAAGAATAACTTTTTCACTAAAAGTTCTTAACCAAAATTAACTTCAAAATTAACATATTTTGAAAAATCGTAAGTTATTTGTATCGTTGCAAATGAAAATTTAGCTATGTTTGTAAACAACATTCGGTCAACCGTGCTAATTGGGTTCGCGGCCAAACAAGGTTTGGGTAAATTCTGCCAGCTAAGAATAAGCCATATGATAAGTGTCTACCTTTTATACCATATCCTTTTAACCATATTTCGCGTCGATAAAATATTTTCAAATGTTGGTANATCTCAGTTTTCTGAATAATCAAGTATTAACATATTACACGAGATTAAGTGGCCAAGGTTAGTTTAGTTTAATCAGGACATCTATCGGTCCTGAATATTTTTGCGGCATAACAAATTGCCAAAAACCTAGATCAATCGAACAATGAGTTCAAAATAAGTCCTCAGTTCAATGGGAAAGTGTCACAGAACAAAGGCATGCAAAATCTGGACTGCTGATTGAACAATGCAGACTCTGGAGGCATATGTGTAGACTCGGTAGTTGAAAAATGCCATTGCCAAGAAAAATATGAATAACGGGATAAGTTCTCTTTTGGTGCGAAGTCCTACGCAGGCAGAGAGTTCTATTCCTTGATGTGTAGAAGACAAGACCTGAAGGATACAAGAGCCCTTAAGCTATGGGATATGGTAAAGAGCATAAAATTTAACAAAGAGTTTTAGGCAATAATGGAGATTTCATAAGAGACTAGTATTAGACGCAGTGCTCAATTAGTGAACCTCACAAACAAGAATTACAAGCGATAAAAAGCAGACCGCATTAATTACAACATATACATAAAACGAAACACACCAACAAATCATTTTAAAATAAGCCTTCATTAACACCGACCAAACCAATCTGCTTAAGAAACAAAAGCGACACAAAAATAAAAACACTAAAGATAAAAATACAATAAGAAAACATCCTAGACAAAATACACAAAGCACGTGTATAGACAATTATTTGTACAAATGACTACAAATGGATCAGACTGACTTGCAGAAAAATAAAATAACAGAAGCAAAGAAGAATAAGATCATTTTCGAGAAGTACAACAATCAAGCGCCACACACAAAACATCGAGGCAATTTTGAAGCTGAAACATTTATTTATCTTACGAGGGTTCGCAACAGCAGAGGTCATATCAACCCTTAGGGTGCCGATGTTTCTGAAAAAAAGCTCAATTTTAAGTATGTCAAGTTGAAAAGCAGGGCCGTTGGATTCGAACCCGGAACCTTTACCTTACAATGATGAGCGCCGTGTCAACGTCTAAACCGTTGCGGCCACCGTCCCCCAAGCATTACTTACGATATACAAACAAGGCAAAAAATTAATTTTCCCTACGGGTTTTTTGCGTTTTTCTTGGAAAAAAAACCCTGAGTCCTACGAGCCTAATTCCTTTTCCAATCGACTCAGCAGGTCGATTTACATCGAAAAAGATAACAAATTTTTTTCGATTTTTTGGTGTTTTTTTTTCGTTTTTCTTGAAAAAACAAAAACAAAAAAAAAAGTAGTTTTCTCGAAACCCCCCCCAAAAAAATTATTGTTTTTTCGATGTAAATCGACCTGTTGAGTCGATCGGAAAGGAATTAGGCTCGTAGGACACATTGTTTTCAAGAGACACGCAAAAAAATACCGCATAAAATTAAGAAAATGGCTTGACGTAAAGAATATCATAACAGTAAGTATCAACTGGAAATAAACAACGCTTATTTATACTGATGGTACCACAAAAATTACAACGACAAACCAATTTTACCAAAAATGAAACAATAAAAATAGACAACGCCAAAACGCATTTTACAGACAAAACCAGCAAAAATGGATAGATCTGGTTAGATGGTTACAACAATAAATTTTGATGTAAACATGTTAATTATACCCTATATCTTTTATGAAACAAACAAAACCTAGCCTTTCCTTTTAATCTTGGTTTTGATATATGGTTGATTTAAAAAATATCCTTTCCATTTGTTAGATTCAATCTTTACAGTACTATGCAGACAGCCTTGAGAAGCGAGGAAATGGATAAAGAAAAGCGAGCTGAAATAGATAGAGATATACTACGGTCCACTAATTAGCTTAATAGATCGAAAAATCAGGTTAAAAATAATACCAATAATCATAAATAAATTCCAGACCGCATCTCACGATTCTGAATAATTAATTAGTTAAAAATAATAATTAAATATAAAATAAGGCATTGCGAATTTTATTTATTCGTTCATATTGATTTAGATTAAAATTAAACGTGAATGTAAGTAATGTTGAGTCAAGTTAAATTATTCCTTATTTGTTAATGAGTCCAAATATTGTTTTTATTTTTTTATGGTAATAATTGCATTCTTAGTTCAGTTATAGTCGTATAATTTTTGTTTTGATCATGAATTTTGGTTTTCAGATAGTGACACAGATACGACCAGTGGGAATGGCAAAATCCTGAAACGCGTCTGATAGGCAAAAGCAGCTCAAAACGATCGGTACAACTAAATTAATGTCTTAAAGATTTACCATGCCAATTGATTCAATTAAATAAAATAGTTTAATTGTAATAACAATTATACTTGCATATGCTTTTAAAATAAGCTTCAACGTGACCAACTCTACACAAAATTACACCTGAAAATTTTTTGGACTGCCTTTTAGGCAAACAAAAAATTATATTATTTGTTTACTACATTTTTTCTTCATTCAAATATCAACTATTGTTTACAACTTTTCCCATTCTAGAAGTCAGCTTTAATTTTTATCTGAAACTATAAACTTTAACTTCATCCTCAAACGGACCATTCTGAGTTCTGTCTTAATCATGGAAAAGTTCTTTTATTGTCCGTGAACCTGACTCATAGGTTTTTACTCCGAGGCATTGGCTGCTCACCAGACCGCACCCTTTGCTTCCTGATTGCAAAAAGCCTGCGAGAATTTTTAATTGCAACGCGTCCTTGACAATGAGCCGCGCCCTTCTTTCAGTACTGCTAACGCAATTAAATAAATCAAGGAAACTATTAAATTTAAATTTGAGCAATAATTTTGCGATATAAAAACTCTATGCAAACTACAAGCCAAAACCCCTCTTGCGGGAAGGAAGTGAAAAAAATACTAGACTCATTTTAAATGAGAGGTAATTGGCCTCGTAAAAATGAAACAAATATTCTATAATGGAATAAAGGAGAATGATAACAAAAAAAAATGAAGAATAAAAATATTCATAAGGTAATGCTGTTTTCGACGCTCCATGGGAAAAACAATCCTTCACAAGCTTAAATTGACTCAGGTACGTTTTTTAATTTTGCAATTAAAATTAATTCTTTGGTAAACAATAAAAGAATTTTTCCAATTATTTATCCAATTGTTATTGTGTAACTAAATTAGTGCCGTCTAGCAAACGATTCTTCATTATTCATTAAATAAAAAAATGTACTAAGTACCTTCCTATATTAAAAACAACATAATTTTGTTGCATTTGTTAAATTTGAAAAACAAAGCAACAAACTTCATGTTATTATATATTAAAAATTAACTTGAATCAAATGCTGTGTTTTCTTCGAACACCTGTTTAGCTGTTTTAGCACTTTTACTGTGTTGAATATCACAACATGTTTTCATAGTATACAGTATTATTTTTTAGGCTTTTTAGTAAACATTGAACAAAAATGATATCCTTTTGCTGGAAAATGATATTATCCGAAGTTTATTTTATGAAGTGAAAAATATTGAAAACGTTTTTGTTTTGACACGAATGTTCTGCACATAATTACAGGTTTTCATCAAATTACGTGAGAAATATGTTTAGAAGCAATGATCAAAATTCATGGGAGATCAGAAACGCTAGCTTTTCGACGATTTTCTCTCGAGCCCTAACAAGCCTAAAATTTACTCCATCTCACTTGTCCTCAAAACGTAGGCCAATTGCTGCATGATGTACAAACATACGATACTAATGAGCATTACAACTGAAAATCCAGAAATTCTATATCTATAGTAACTTATTATTTTTTTTTTTTTTTGCACTTTGCTTTTAATATACAAAAGTGCATAATGCAATTTCAGTGATAACGATATTCGATGTGATAGATTGATTTGGCATGCTAAATACTAATGGCGAAACGATTCTAGCCCAAGCTCATATGTTATTGTAGTTCCGTTAAGGACGACCAAACAATATCAAACTATCTAAGTCATAACCAAAGCTCCAACCATCGATTTGAACCACATACAGGTAACCACCCTGACATAGAAAAAAAAGAGACTAGATATAGGAGTAGTGACTACAAGACTCTAAGCAGCATCGTGGTACAGTTGAACAAAAAAATGGTAGAAACTCATTTGAGTTCTTCCCGACAAAAAAGAGCTAATTTCTTGGTAGATATAAACCCAATCTTCGCTTCTCCCATTTCCCAAGATTTCGCTTGTCACTCTGGAATATGAAGAAGCTTTAGTGGTAATCTGGATATGGCCCATGTCCCATTTCACTGTTCGTGTTATAAAAACACAAATAAATATTCGTAAGTTGGCAACCAGAAAAACAAAGGCTTGTATTAGACGAGGAAATAAAACATTCCATAAGATTGCGATTGATATCGTATTGTAATAAAAAAGAAGTGCAACACGTATTTAGCCAAGTACATAATAATTATAGAAGTACTAGAGAATTTGGGTCATTTTCTCCCATTTGTCTTCCTATTGTTAAGTATTTGGTAGTAACATTTGATTTTATTTGAATATTATTTGTTTATTAGTTGAAAAGAAAAATACGCAGATGTTAACAAGAAAAATGAAGAACAAGAAATTTGTCTTTTACTTTGAAGCTTTTTTTATCAAGTCTCTTTCCTTCTAATATCTCAGCAATCAACTGAGAAATAGGAGGGAAATTTAGTCATAACCACTAATTGTGCCCCTTGAAATAAATGTGTAGTATGGCTGGTAGGTCGGTATATGTGTCCCTCACTCTTCAGATTTCCTTTTTTAATTTCTCACTAAAATTTAAACATCGTAAAAAGATACTACGATTCTAGATACTTAAATTATATTTAATAAGGTTTTATTCATTTTAATGACTTTATTTTCTATGTTTCTTATTTTAATTATTAGCTAATTCCAAACTGAAAAATTGTAATGTTTGATTTTTCGATATAATAACTATAAAAATAGATATTGAAATACAGCTTGTATGTTTATTTGTAATTTAACTTTGTTTTGAGATATTTCATAATGCTAATAGACAATAGAAATAATAATAAATTAAGATGACCAACTGGTTGTTGTGTTGCCCGAAAGCTGAGATGATGGTCGCACATTTGTTAATTTCGTTAATGTCGTAACATCGTTGTACTAAGTACGCATATTTCTTTTAAGCTTTTGTTTTTTGACTACAATTCACCAATTATGGAGGAATTTCAAGGCAGGCATGAAAAGTCTGAGCACTCCTTATTCATACCGGTTGAATTACGCGATCTATCATTGTTTGATCGATGAAACGGTACAGGAGGTGATAGTTTCTGGCCGGACCAAGGTCTCAGTTTGGCAAATCATCATTAACATTTATAGACAAACCTGATAAGAAATTTTTCAATTGGTTGAAAATCCAATTTTCCGTTTAGGCGTGAGATATAGGTTAAAATTGCAAATGTTTATACTACAATAATTTAATTCACTACTTATTTCAACAAGAAATCATCAAAAGATAAAGCAAAGGCTTATGTAAATCTGAGATCAATTGTCACTGCATTGTGAGGGAAGAACTTGTCCCTTGTGGAAGCTAATCGATCCGACCCGTCTCGAAGATACAACAAAAACCTTATCTCCGACTAAACCGTGAAAAGGACGACTGTCCGGCATTCATAGTTTAACGTGAAACCGTCCTTGCTTTTGTTTAGAGACGCGCTAATCAACTATATAAGCCAGTATGGGAGTGAAATGGGGCGTCATTTACGAAATAGTGAACGCCCCGGAAACATGCACGCTGTGTTTTGGATGATCGTAAGTCTGCATTTTATGATTGGATGAGTAAAACTGGAGTATCATGTAAAATGTAGCTTTCAAAAATGTCAATCCTGATAAAGCATGTCGAACTCACTTGCTGTATCCTCATCGATAATTTCAATATATGACTTTTCAGAACTACGTTTTCTTTAATATCAATGTTTCTGAAGAATAATAAATCCTTACAAAAACTTGTGACACAAAAATATTTCAAGGTAGCTGTGGCATGTGCGCCGAACTGTAACGATACTTTTATCGGCCAGGGTTACAAAGTAAAAAACACATACACGTCTAAAATGTTAAATTCGTCTATTGTAATTAAGTACATCATAATATACTTCAAGTACAATGCTTGATTAGCGTGTGTTTACCAAAATTCGGTTTGGATGAATTGATGGAAATTTTGGTTCGCGTCGAATCTATAAAGATTACAAAAAGGGTGATTATTAAAAACATGCTGAATTTTCAATCAAATCCAAACATACATTAGTTCTACGCTAAGCTATGCCCAAAATAAAAACATTTTGGAAAATAATCGGAGTATGTGATTAAAACTGGAAATTATTGGTCTAATCAGTCAACGATGTGATGTACAATTTGAGCTTATTCTATACAGCTAATTCTTCTAAATTAAAGTACATCTCTTATGATTTTAATTTAATCTTACAGATAGTAAACGTGGACACAGGAAATTTGCAAAAATGTAAAGACTCCAGGTTGGAGAAGCATCTTTTACTTTATATCCTTAACATCATGCTATGCGACTATACTGTACCCTCGGTTTAAGTACAATTTCTAAATTAATTTAATAATATTACGTCTTTAGATGTTCTTTGTAATATTCAAATATGATAAAGAATAATCTAACATGTGATGAAAAATTGAAATTTTTGATCAATTCTGTCAACTGGAGTTGTGAAATCTTGTGCTTTGGTGAAACTATGAGAGCTTCACATTTGACCTTGTTTTATATGACTAAGCAATGTTTTGTAAATATAGACCACCTCTTTTAATTTTAGTCATTCTGATAGCGTAAAAACAGGAAATTTATAAAAATGAAAAACTCCTACTTCTTGCCTCTCCAATCTTATATCCTTATCGAGTTTAGTGACTGTAGCGCTCGCCGATTTATGTTACATTTTCTAAAGGAAATCTCTGAACATTACTTCGTCATATATGCTAAGTTACGTCTTAAACAGAAATATTTTGAGGATTGGAGCATGTGATGAAAAAATGTGCTTTGATGGAAATATGAAATGCTTCACATTTGAACTTGTTCTATATGGCTAAACAATAGTTTGTAAATAAAGTTCATCTTTTTTTATTTAAAAACCTTCAGACAGTAGCTTAGAAACAGGAAATTTGTGTAAATGTAAAAAATCTTATCTATTCTTCCTTACAACTTTTATCTCAACCAATACTTACATAAAGATAAATTAATTGAAAGATGTTATTTGGTCAATCGGACCACGAAATCTAATGAAATTTCTTATAAATTTAACATCGAGCTTTGGATTATAGTACGTCAGTTTATGTTACATTCTTAAAGGAATTTTCTTCACGTTACGCCGTCCTCTACGCTAAATTAAATTTTTGGAAATTTTGTGTTTTTTGAAAGACAACAATTTTTTGAAAATATGAGTTACTTCACATTTGAGATTTTTCGATAGTTTTTAGCATCGCGCTATGTGACTAATGCGAAATCTGGTTTATGTTTCAATTTTAAAACGGGTACCGCTTTGAAATCTACGAGTGTAACCTTAAGACTCGCATTGGCACCAAAATTCTGAATGAAGTATTGAAAAACTTGGTGAAAATTAAATTCGTATGGATGTTTTACATATTTGAACATGCCGGTTTGTATGAAGAAAAACTACTATAGCAGCCTGGCTATTTATGATTAAATTCTATTAAACGAAATTCAAATTCATCATGAGAAAATTTCATAAGTTTAAAAGTATGTATAAACATATAAAATAAATTAAAGATAAAAATAAATGTGATAATAAAACAAACCACTTTCTATATATTTATTTATTTAGAAAAACAAACGCAGTCAGTAAATAAATATATTATAAGGTGTTGATACATGAAAAGACATTTATCCAGCTGATTTCAGAACCCTTGTCATCACCGTTGGCAATAACAAAATTATTCAACATTTTTGAGCAAAGCCAGTACAATTTCATAAAATTTCCACCAGGCTAAACGTTGGGAAAATATAAATTTCCGTCAATTTTTTTTCTCCTATCGCATAGTAAGCAGTCTTTAATTTGATATAATTGCCAAAAAATGATATATAGGTAATTATGAAATGATTTTATTAATATTTATAAAAACGCAAAAAATCAACGTATCCCGAAAAAGAACTATTTTTAATAATTATTGATGGGTATGGATAAAAAATGGTTCTTTAACGATTATACTCTGTTGGTAAAGAAATAAGCTCAGATCCGTCAGAAGAAGCATGATGAGGGTGATGGTGAGATCTGGTGGGATTGAAAAGAGGCTCTTCAATTCTTCTTCACACAACTTGTTTATACCTAGCGCGATTGATAAACAAAGCATAGAAAATAAATGTTTATTGTTATCTAGTTTCTATTCTCTTTTATTTTAATAATGATAAAAATAGGGATGTTTGGCATGAAAGATCATTCACCTTATTCACCTGACCTAGCACAATCAGTTGTTACCTATTCACTGTCTTACAAATTTCGCTTAATTGGAAGCCTTTTGATACGTTGGATGGCTTGCGAAACTACCTTGAAGAGGTCAACGCACAAAATGATGACAGATTTTTGAAAAGAAGGAAGTAGTTAAACTACCCAGAAAAGTTAAAGCTAGTGCAACAAAACGGGCTGTTCACATTTATTTACGGAAGCACCATGTTTGAACTGTAGAAAATTCTACATACTTAATTACACATAACAGATTGATGTGCTGTTATTATAACATAATAAATAAAATCAATGTCTTTTTCTTTGTATAACCCATTATTTGATAGTTATGTCTAACCTTCTTTATCTATTGTTTTTGGTGGTAATTTGTTATTATTTTTTATTACATTAGTACAATTTTTAGCTTTTTATATATTTTTACATTACTTCAGAAATTTGGTTTAATTAGCTGATACCTATACCACATTGAAAAATATAGTAGAGTGCTTAAATTAAAAACCAGTAGCATTAAATATTCGTAGATTTTTCTTTTAGAGAATAAAAACTATGTTTTTAAAATAATTTTAAAAAATCATTAAGCTGAAGATATAGTACTGACCCCGAACTGTCGATTATTATAATAATAGCTGACTACCGTTAGAAAATTGCCTTTAACTAATTAAATAAATAAAATATCATAGAAACTAAACTAACAAAAAATAACACAAACATATAACTCTGTATTTAATAGTTTTTCTAGCTTCTCGATTATTTTTTGCTTCTTTTTAAAGATCTTGAAGGAATTCTAACCTAGAACAGAAAACCTGTCTCTTTTTTTATTCCATTAATTTACTGCTTAAAATAAAACTATTTTACTATTGTTTGATCAGAAAGCAAATTTGCAAACAACAATTTGGTCAAAGCAAAAAGTAGCAAATGTGCAAATAAAATTTACGAAGATCACGAAATATTTAAAAAGAATTATAAAAATAAGTAAAACATAAAATAAACAATTAATAGGAATTAAAAAAAATTATAAACGATGTTCATACTGACCGACCATATCTTATTGTTTTTTTTCACCCCTTTGAAACGCAGTTGGAAATTTAAAAGCTTGTTTTAGCCTGCCCATCAAAAATAATTGTTTTTCTCATAATTATCAAATATGGTTGAATATTAGCGGATTTCTATTTATTGTTTCTGTTTGTAGGTTTCTTTGTTATTGTTTCAATTGCTATAAGAAATGAGAACACAAATATAGAACGATGGAATATGTTTACAGAGTTGGTTATCTTCCCAATGGATTTATTGATTGCAACTTGACCATTAATAAACAATAATTGTGGGTACTTAATCTGGAATGATTCATAGAATAGTACTTGGGAAATTGGTTGACATAAAGAACTAAAAGATAAATAAGGTGAAACAGCAAGCTGTAGCATAAATAATAAAAATAAATTCCGAAACTCGACTGACAGACCAACAAGCATATCTTGACCGAAATGATCGGTAACGACAAAATTACAGTCATTACCTCGTAGGCCACACGAATCTAATCTCACAATTTGATTTTAAAAAATTTTATACCCAACCATGGCAGAATAAATGTTTCTTTTTCACTTTAATATGATTTTTTCCAGGTTTTTACAGCGATTATCTTGAATGTCGCTGCTGAAAAAGAAAAAATGGAGAAGTCGACAGTGGACAGTGCCCGCGATGTGCAAAACAAGTCAGCACACCCCAGACGCACTAACTTTGAAGGGAAGATCGAAAAAGTCCCTAAGCCCAAGTCGCATCCTGGGCTTTCCTACAGCGACATGAAGCAGGCAGATTCCGTCGGGATCGGCTTCTACGGAGTGCCTGTCGCCTACCAAACCGCATATCCGACTTATTATCCGGCATATTATCCCCGTTATTACAGGAGGCCTTATTTTGGTAAGACATTTTTTCTTTTCAATTTTCATACTTCAGGTGGTCCCGCCTCTCCCTTTTTCTTGGGATCGCCAACATAGCGTGACACTAAAAACCGCAACTGTTCAATGAAAGCGGTCTTAACGAACCGCCCGTGTCGAATCATTTTTTTTTCTATTATTACAACACCTTTGAAATTATAATTTATGAAATTTAAGTTTTTAGAATAATAATTAGTATGCGGAGTCCAATTAACGAGTCCCTGAGAAGTTTTGTTTAGTTTGCAATATGCAAATTCTTGCAAAACAAATATAGATTAAGAAAAGGTAATTTACAAAAAATATATAGTAAAATTTAATAAATTTACTTCTTACCAATTAACTTATTATGGAGTTCCCCAAAATTAGGATCGCCTCTATCAAAAAATTAAAATTTAATAGCCACAATATTTAAACATTTTGCACAATAAATATATTTTTTTAAACAAATTTCAACTTTAAAATAAGGTATATGCTAATAATATAATATGTTATGAAAAGAAATAATAATGAACAATGTGGAAAGTGCCAAAACTCGTCAGACCAACCAAGCAAAAATAGGCAGACCAAAATGATCATTAACAGCCAAATTACAGGTTCATCTCCTCACAGACCACACGGAGAAATCTTTCAATTGAAGTCCTGAAGTGAATTTAGGAAGAGACCTTGTTGGGACTAAAATGTTCGCCAAGCCCTTAATTATAATAATTGTATGGTGAAAATATTAATTTTTATTACAATTAAAACAAAACAAAAAATGTCTGCCAAGTGGGTCGACAGTAAAGCTTCCTTACATTTTGTGCATGCTTATGCACATATGTTAATCCGTTTGGTATAAAATTCGTATGGCATCATCTAGAAACCAACTCGCATAATCCCTGAAAATTGCATAAGAATCCAACAAATGGTTTCGGAAATACATTTATGTACTTGATTTTATTTTTGCCCTTGCCCAGGCGATACCTTTGATCCGATTAGGATGAAATTCATTTGAAATCATGTAGAGAGCAACCTGCATAATTCTCTGGAAATTACATAAATATTGGTCTTGAAGGTTTTGAAGTTTTGCTGGTTACCAGAAATTGTCAACATACGGTCTCGGAATGACGGAACCAAATTTGTTCATAATAGTCTGAAACGCAAAATGCGAGTGGAAATTACCTTTATGATTATATTGAATAAAACATTAACCAAACTAGATATTTTGAACTTTATAAGCTTACAAAAATTTGGGTGCGTACATGCGAATAAATTTCAATAATGAAAGATAAATTGTGGGGTTTCTGAACATCGGAAATTTCCACAGAAATAAAGATCTAACTTTTTTTTATTTTACCGACTTTATGATATCATCTTTTTCGAAATCATCTTTGTATTTTGCATTTGACGACAAATCTCAGGGCTGCCGCCAAAAGTTATTAGCATAAATTACGAGTCGTTCCAATTGGACATGGGGTTTCATTGTACTGTTTTGATCTTAATAGAAACCAACATGAACGTAAATTTTTTTATTCGATTATTTTATCTTATATTTTGAACGTTTTTTCAGGTTACGGTTTCAGACCAGTTAGCGTTGGCTATTGGGCTTACAGTGCTTGGCCGGCGTACAGAAGTGGCTGATGGTTTCTCTTTATTATCGCTCTTAAATATTTGAATAATCGCTAAAATTAACTTATTGTTTTTTTTTAATTTCTGCTTTGTATATAAAACAATAAAGTTTATTATGTAATACTTATTTAATTTTAGTTTACTTTTTGCTTGTAATGATCTGGAAAAATTGTTTATCTACTGCTAATACCTTGCCTCACCACCAGTTTGATATTCCCTCAATTCACTTCACTAAACAACAATCTCATCGCATTGTGGACACTATCACATAAAATTGTGTATAACTTTCTTGAGCGAAACCAGTTGGGTGTTTTTCTGAAAGTGTCTCAAGCGTTCGATTGGGTATGGCATCGGTGAAGTTCTATATGGAACAACATCACTAATATGGAACAGTGCCACTGCTGGGTGACTAATCTAATCATGTGTAACGAGCTGGATATGGTTCAAGCGTTGAATCGGAATTGTTGTGGAAGCTCGTGGGCTTCTTAATAATTTTTAATTGTTAATAACTGTAAGAAAATCCTAAAACTATTTTTTGAAATTTAAAAATGTTGGAAGAGAATCGGTTTGGCATCGTCTCCGAACTGTCCCACTTGCGATTGCCCTTCAAATCCTTCCCACAAAATTTTCGAATGCCCAGAATGCGAAAATGAAAGAGATAAACTGCTAAAAAATCTGAGCAAAGTCCCAAACGTTCCCAAACCAATAAACTTAGAATCTGTTCTAATAAGCAACAATCCAGCAGCAGTCAACATAATCTATAGATTTCTAAAGTCGATAAACGTTACTTTTTGATTTTCTTCAACCTTTAAAATTTAGAAGATGATTGAGCTGAGTGAGTGAGTGAGGGCGCGCGGCGGGGATCTGGTCCTGGTCGGCCGATCCCACTCGATAGAAAACTTTTTGGGTAATATGTCAGCGTAACCCCCCCCCCAAAAAAAAAAAAAAAAAAAAATTGTTGGAATGATATTAGACTTTGAAACTTTAAAACCAGTTTACTTTTCACTGGAGTGAAGCAAACAATTGCTACATAAAAACATTAATGATTGGTACTAATATTTTATTCAAAATTATTTTTAAAAATCCTCTAACATATCATACGATGCAGCTCTACGATGATGCTGCTCAATTAAAAGCAAATATTACTATAAAAAACTTGTATTACCTCTTTAAATCCAATAAAATCCCTCCGTCCCATAATACTTGATGATTTCTGTTCACAGGACATCATTCACATTATCGTAATATACATTTTACAACATTGTTTTCTTTTACTACTGTCTTAGCATTATTATAACTAAAAACAAACTACCAAATAGATTGTAAAAATCTTTTTGTAAAGAAAATGTATGTAGACTAGATGAAATACAAAATGTGTACAGGGTGGCTTATATTGAATGCAAAAAAATGGGTGATCGTGTACCAGAATGCCGCATAATCGGGTGAAATAACCAAAAATGAGGGTTTTACCTCACTGTCAAAAAGATTTTCTTTTCTTTTTGCGGCATTCTACTATATTTACAGCCTTTCATCACACAATTCTTCTTTTGAATCTCATATCGAACCATCCTGTATACTAATTTAATTCTAAAGACTGTCAACATAGCAAATAACAAGCATAAAATGATGATACATCATAATTGAATGAATATGTAAAAACCACCATACTGCCAAAAAGCTGAGAAAAAAATTGTTTACACTTGGTAAGTTCTAGGTAAATGTGGATTTTTTAATTTATTATTTGGAGATCGTGAGAAGAGGTCTGGGGTGACATAGGTTTTAGAAAAGCATTTTATTTATCGTGCCAACGTTTTGATCATTATTGAGACCTCTTCAGGGCGTGGGATTTATTAACACTGTTTAAATTATACAAATACATGTAGAATGTGAAAAAATGAATTTATACAATGCTAGAAATTGTAGACTCAATCAAAGTATTTGTACTCACTCAAAATGTTTGTTTTCTGTGTAATTGTGCCATTCTTGCGTGTCGTGTTGAGAGTGCCAGTGAGATATTGATGTTTTATGTTTATATACGTTGCATTTTGATTGAATCTAAAATTCTAGCATTGTACAAGTTCATTTTTTCACATCCAACATGTATTTATATAATTTAAACAATGTTTATAAATCCCAGGCCCTGAAGATGATCTCAATAAAGATCGAAACATTGCACTGTAAAGAAAATGTTTTTCTGATCCTATGTCACACCAGACCGCATCTCACGATCTCCAAATAATCATTACAAATTAGCTAATAAATACAAATTTTTTTTATATCAAACAATATCTATGTTGAAACAAATAAATTCAAATTCCAGAAACAGCCGTTGATTAAGCCATTCCAAATCTGTTGGAGTCAAATCAGTGAAAATTCAACATCTTCAAAGTACTTTAAAGCAAACATCAAGTAATTTAAACAAAATCTTTTATTGGTTAATATAAACTTATCTAAAATTATATCATTTATATAATTTAAATAGAAAAAAACTATTGCGTCCTATTTCGCGCCGTAATGCCTATTGAAAAATTAATTAAAAAATAATCGCGTACTCCTTTTATCTGCGTGACCGTTCGTGGAAATTATGGAAATCGCTTTATGAATTCGACCTTTTCGTTGGTAAGTACGAACCCTGACCGTCCAAGGGCGAGGCAGCGACTCTGACAAGGCGCACGCCAGCCCCGATACAAAAATTCTAAAAGAAACAATGGATTTGATTACTTCAATTTGGAAAAATTAGCTAATTGTTAATCGGCACCAGGGACAGGAGGCAAACTCGCACCAGCTGCGAAGATTATTTCCGACGATAGTCTCGCTAGGCTACCGGAATTTTCGAGTGGGTCAGGGCTTACATTTATTATTCAATAAACTCCGGAATTATTAATTCTACGCATAACAAACAAATTGAATACAATCGAAAATTTAAAAATAGATATAAATGTCTCACATTTCTTGATGCAAAGGCAAAAATATTAAATTCTGTACAAAAGTTTGAATACATAATTTTCCTTCAAAAAAATGATTTTATTAAAAATAAGTTATAGGTTTAATAACTGTTTCCTTTCTGCAAGGTCAAGATGAATATCTAGTGTGATGACCTTTCTTCAACAGAGCCTGATCGCAAATGAACAATTTTTGGGGTACGTTTATCTTACGTTTGGATGCGTGTCACTCCAAATTCACAATATGCATCGATGATTTCATTCTAACTAAGCATTTTTGGTGGTTAACATATTTTTGCCTGTCCACCAGATTATTCGCGAGTAAGTGTACATCTGTCATTACGACATAACATCCATACCATAGTCCTATAAAATGCGTACTTTTGTAAATATATAATTTGTCTATAAGATTGATATTTGGATCACTTTGCTTTTATTTGTTACCCAATTGTTTAGGAACTGTTACCTCAGTGATTAGCTGCTTAAATGAACTCTATTGTATCAATTTCACAATTGCACAATCTTAGTTATCTGTGAAGTACTCTCGCTCGCTCCCTCCCTGTCTCTCTCACTCACTCACTCACTCTCTTTCTCTCTCCCTCCCTCCCCCCTTTTCTCTCTTGTATAAATATATATACTATACACTATAAATACTAATCTAACATTTATATGTGTAGTATAAAGTATAAACTATACACATTAATATTACACATTAGTAAAATATTACATTTTGGATGTGCAAAATAAAAATTTGTGTTGGCAAAAATATTGTTTATTTCTAAATTGATATTGAATTATGTCGTTGGAAATATATTTGTTTTTCACTATTTTATGATTCCAACTTCCGCCACATCCATTTTCAGATGTTTTCTTCCGAACAGAAACTATATTTTTCCTTGGTTTTCTTACTGTGTCTATTTCCACTTTGAACATTTGATTTATACACATTCCGTATTTGTACGATTTACGACTCTATTGCTTCAGTTTCAAGATTATATCTTTTATATATTTTAATGCTGTTACGGCGTTGAATTACAATACACTAAAATTATAATAAAATAAATTCGACAGCCAAAATTGAGATAGATGGTATGGTATTTTATTTACAGAATTTCATCTATGGTTTAAATTGTTTTAAATTTTAATGTGTGTGGTTTAATGTTTTTCTAATGGAATTATTGCTTGCTTATAGCAATAAATCTTTGTTTTGTTGTTTTACTTTGTCAGCTATGTCAAATATTTCTTAAGCTACTTCATCAGTTTGTATCCAATTACAATTAATTAAGGTTTTCAGTTGAGATAAAAAAGTCAATGGCACGAGCGGGATTCGAACCCACGATCTTCGGCTTGATATGCCGCTGCTCTACCACTTGAGCTATCGTGACCTCGATCCACTCTGACATCAACTTCCACTCTCAACCACACCTTTTGAATTTTCCCTCCTTTTTGCCATTTTTTGCCACTTTTTTATCTCAACTGAAAACCTTAATTAATTGTAATATATTAATTGGTCAAGTGGACCAGGAAACTAGTGAATTGAAATTTATATCCAATTTTGAGTACTCGCTTTGGCGTACAAATATACTATAAAATTTTTCCGATTAAACGAATAACATTTTCATCTCAGTATAAAATAAATTAGTTTTGATCACACATTACGGCAAACCATCACTATAATGGTTCCGGTTCGAATCTCATTCGCCCTGAATTCGAATCAATTACGAATTCGTATCAACCAATGTACTTACAAATGGTTTTTTTCGACAGATTTGAGCCCCCTGAAAATATTAATAACTATTGCTATACAATTGCTTACTGTTTTCTTAATACGCAAAACTAATAATCAAGCTATGAACTTGCATCGTATTTACCTCAATCATTAGTAAAAAATGCACATATTTTCAACTTTTAATACATTTTTGTCATAATGAATTACTTGATAAATATGTAGAGATAACCGCAAGAATGAGTTACTGTTGAATACATTTATATAACTGTATATATTTTACTTCTTTCTCACTCACTCTCTCTCTCTCTCTCTCTCTCTCTCTCTCTCCCTCTCATCTCTATTGTGCGCGGATATATGTATTTATGAATAAATTTTACGATTTTTTTACTTGTGCTACACGTTACGTTACCATGTTACACATTG